GTCAACTCCATATTGGGCCATTTTTGCGTTGATAAAAAAATAGATGTCTGCATATAGAATTGAGGCTTCAAAGCACATTATAAGCGATAGTACCGAGCCAAGATAAGGAAAACAACTTGCATTCTCACTACATGCCACTTTTTATTTCATTCTTACCACAAGCACAAAGTAATTGGAATTTTCATCATTTATATTTGTTCCATTTTACGTCATTGGTGGTGTATTTTTTTTGTTTGTTTATTCAACAATTAATAGCTCTAATAATTTACAGTGTTGCTACTGCAATTCGCTGCCCACCCACATTATTTTGAGGTTAAAGTGAACAGCATCCACTTCACACAGTTGTCTATTTCGATAGAGTTAATCATTTGACCCATGTTCTTGTCTCTTTTTTTTTCACTTCTACTCAATTTTCCTTATCCCTTTTCACTTTCATTGTTTTTCCTTCGGTCGAGTGAGAGTCGCATTGATTGATTTCAAACCCGTAAGCCTCATGATACTTTGTAAAATGGTTTTGCGCTCATTCAATTTTATAATTTTATGGACGATTTCTTTTTAAAAAATTATTAAGTTTTATTCTTTTTTAGAGAGAAAGAGGACGGAGCGGGAGAAAAAATAAAACATGCAAGTATTTGTGAAATTGATGGAATTTCCTTTCATCTTTTAAGTCTGTGTGTACTTTAGTTTTGACGCAATCGTTCTTTTGTTGTGCATTTTGTTGTTTACGTTTATCGAGTCACGCGGTAATATTAACCGAAGAAAAGCCCAGCTTAATTAATTCTCTGTATAAATAAGTAATAAGTAATTTTTCATGTTGAAGCCACCGATGACATAAGCACAACTCTTTTAACATCAGCACTTTTATAATTGTACAGCAATGCAGTAATAGTTGCTAAGCTCTCTCTCTCTGTGTGTATGTGTGTGTGTTTGAATAGTTTATGTACTTATAATGCACTTGACATTTTATCATTTGTCAAATTTGTTGTAATATTCATATCTTATCTCTGTATTCATTGCATTCGATATGGATAAACAGTGTTTTCGCATTCGGATCGATTAATTTTATTGATTAATTGAGTTCAATCACAGCTACTAAAGTACATTAAAGTCAAAGACAGACTCGTATAATATTCTTCGTTTCTCTGCGTCGTTCGTCATTCACACCCATTTGGCATTCGGTCGATGGTAAAATCAAAACAAATTACTAGCAACAACAACCGAAAATGTATTAAACCACATTCAAATAGCCCAAAAAATGACCAACTGTGCATGAGTGTGAGTCAGTTGGCTGCGGTCATGTCTACCAAAATTCTACATCTGGTCATTTCGTCTTATGAGATAAACGACAAAATCAATCGGATAATAAAACGGATTTCGAGGTTTGCAAAATTGGATTGTCTGACATTCGTTGCCATTGAAAAGTTTTCGGTAGAAAGTCGAACATTACTTGGTCGATTGGTCGTTTTTCTCTCTGTAACAACAGCATATATATAAAATGTTCATCGTTCAATCAAATAAACAAATGCCGTTGCCCTCGATGTCAACTGTTGCTCAAGATTATAATTTATTTCCTTACAAATATCGAAGATTATATTTTGACAAATTTCCACATCAACAATTATATAGGAAATTTTCCTTTTATACAATTTTAATTAATTATAACTTTTTACACAATTGCACAGGAAACTTAAATCTCTTCTTATTCAAACAAAATGACATATTATATAATACACTGTTACTGTTACTTAAATGTGTACGCTGTACAAATCATTAGCTGATATTCAAAAGATTTCCAATAAATGTTGTACAAAATCGCTACTGTATTTCATTCTATCAATTAAATGGAGTTTGGATGAAAACAATGTTAAACGCATACAGACATTATTATATAAAAGTAATTCAATTCAGTCATCGAAATTATAACATTACGACATTATTTGAAATTATACTGTGAAGTCGGACGAGAGAGTTCAATAAACTCTCGATTCGTATGACAAACGATAGAGTGACATAGAGAAAATCAAAAGGAGAGAGAGAGAGAGGGAGAGAGAACATGTGTTATTAAAATGTTCAAATATTAAATGTGAGATAGAATTAAAAGGTGGTTACAAAACGATTTTAGCAGATTTTCGTCTTTGAATTTCTCACTCAGCCACACATGTATACAATACCTTATTAGATTAACGTACAAAGCATTGTGTCAAAATACATGAGATGCAAATATTTGTATTTGCATTTCGTAGCGACTTAAGTCTTATAATCTCAGATTTTGCGATTGCTGTTCATGCACGCATATACGCCATTTCATAATGCATCTCATACATTATCTTTTTCATTCTGAAAGAAATATTTTTAGATATTCAATGAATATTATTCATATTTACCATTTTATACGTAGTACCCTTATCGAAATCAATGTTCGCATTATTTTTTTGTGTGTATTTTCTTATAGTTCGATATAATCATATCATCAGTTCACGTGATGCTGACTCGACCACTTATTCAAAGACCTTCACTGCTCCAGTTTCGATTGTTGCTTTATCGCACAATTCTATTTAAGAAAATGGATTCAATTTGCAACATATGATGATATATAAAGATAGCGAGATAGATATATATGTCGCCGCTTTTTTTTCGTCTTCTGTGATTGTGTTGTGTTTCGGCATTTGCTTTTATCGATACGATGTTTACCATGGCAAGCAAACGCTTCGGTGTATTTTGTTTACGGCTGATTTGAAATACATGTACACACGTGTTGGCGCGTAGCATTGTATTGTTATGCAAATGTGAAAGAAAATATGCGAATCCGATACGGTCCAATTGTTTGTCTTTTTTTTCTTTGAAGAAAGAAATTCCATGTATCACATGATAAGCATGATTCGGCGAACTTTGTTGTGCTATAATATATCTTTTTGTTATCTTGTTTCTTGAATGTGTAAACAGAACACAGTGGTGCGTCGAATGTTGTTGGTTTTTACTTTTGTTCAAAAAGCTCATTCAATAAAATTGGTTTAATAATTATTTGACACTGGTAAGGTCAGATTGAGTAATCATTTTCAACAATTTTATGCAGTAAACTTTCTCCATTTAAATGGGTTTTTTTTAATTTAATTTCAAGTTCCAATCGAATTTTTGCAGACGAACACCTGAATGAGAATAAAAAATCAATACAATTCTCAATAAATAAACGCAAGACACACAACAGCAACACATATAGAAGAAGAAGAAGAAGAAAAAACGACTTACATCAAATTACTTTTTTGTTCGATTTGGTCGAGATTATCAATGGAATTAAATGTTTGATAAAAAAATAACATAAATTTAATGTTTGCTCAAAAAGTTCGACTTTGAATGTATTGAAAACTCTTTAATTTAACCGCCTACTGACTTTTGCTATTGCACAATACTGTCGAAAATGGGTCAATTTATTGGCTAATGAAAAATATTGTTGTCTGAGGTGTTCATTTTCACATTTATATTGAAGAAAGTTAAACGTGTCAAAAGTGAAAAGAAAGCTGCAGCCTACGGGGAAAAAAGAATTAAAGACGCAATGTTTTCAATACATTTTCATCGAATTCTTTGTCTGTGTGGTGTTGTCCATTCTTTCATATCCGTTTTTTTACGTATATCTTATTCATTTTGTGTAATTGTTGATATAGACATCATAAAAGGATTCAATTCAGATTACTTGCAGTCATTAAATGGTCAACATTTCTAGAAAAATGGTGGGTGTGTGTGTGTGTGAAAACATTTGCGTGTCAAAACTTTTATTTAAGCTTCTTGATTTATTCGTCGTTATTTCATTCGGAGGTTAAATGCAAACATTTAATTTGTCGATTTGCATTTATACGGAATGCAATAAATTATGTGTAGCGTGTACTATATACACCAGTTGATCATAATTCTAGTGGAAAACATGACGTCAATGGCAAAAAATCATCTGAAAATATATATTTTTCCTTTTAAACGATAAATGATAATGGTGTACTTAGAACTAGGGGAGCTTTCCCTAATATTTTTTAGTAATATGCATATAACGTGTAGATTTGACATGATTTAGTATTATGAAGAACTAGCTTTCGAGTTTACGTCTACCCCTAGACTGAGAATTGAAAAAAAAAAACAGATTGAACATTGTGAAAGAGGTTGTGTAATTTGAATGAAAATAGATACAACAAAAATGTATTCTTAACTCTCCATATTCGAGATTATTTTGTTTTTGTTTCAAGAATTGATGTAACATTTAACCTGTTGACACTTCACCATGAATATATTCAACAGACTATTTCTGTCGTTTTAATGTGTAATTATTTAAATGTGTCGGCTTATTTTTGTTTGTCCGCGTCATGAGATGCATATTGCGTTTCAATTTGTGTTGTCTGTTCATTGTTTTGATTGGACAATTGGAATCGTTTTCAGTAAATATTATTGTTTATTTAGTTATCGATTTTGTTTATCGTATTATTCGTTCTAGAATGTCCACCGATGCTAACTCATTTGCTTTATTCTTTTCCAAACATAAAGACTCTTTGCACCAGTTTTGATCGAAACTACTATTCACAATGTGTTACTAAACAAAATGCGAATTTCAATTTCTAATGCATGACTATAAGAAAATATATTCGTGCAATATTTATCTTTGTGATTGTGGTGTGTTTCGGCATTTGCTTTTATCGATTTTATTTGATGTTGCGAATATTTTCAAATGGAAAGCAAACACTTAGGTGTATTTTGTTTACATGTGAATTGAAATATATGTATACACATGTGGTGGCGCTAACATTATTTTGTTATGCAAATGCAAAGGAAAATATGTGAATCCGATACGGTTCAATTGTTTTTTTTTTTGTGTTCATTCTCTCTTTTCGAAATACAAGTCTTGTGTCACATGTAAACCTACGCCAAAATTCTATGAACTTTGTTGCGTAACCAAAGTTCCAAAGTAAACAGAATACGAATTTGATTTAAATGTCAATTTATTATTCGAAAAAAAAGGCCATTTCACAACACAAGATTAAGAAAGTAGGTGCTGACAACAAACTTTTCCAAACAGATGTTTAATAGCAAACGAAAGAAAAATAAAACGATTTTATTTTGATAAATCGCTAGATATTGGTGATCTTTTTAAACTTTCGGAACTGCCCGAACTGTGACGCTGCTCAAAAATTCCAATTGGGCTCGATCCATTTCGAGTTTCAAACAAATTTTTGTAGACAAAAAATAGCTCGTTGCTACTGTAGTCGGCATTAACACCTGAAGGGAGAGACATAAATCAAATTCAATATTTATTTAGAATTGTTCCATAACTGCGGAATGCAGATGAGCACAGACATGAAAAATTTTCAATAAACTCACTTTGAATCGCTCGTTGTTCAAATCGTTCGAGCAAATCACCAGAATTTGATGCCTAAGAAAGGAAATAAATGGTGACATGAAATCATTAAGCGGTGAGTGAAAGAAATTTGGAAATTTATGAAATTCAGAATATACGTACCTTTTTCATTTTGCTGGTGGAATAACGCAACGCTGTTGGAAATGGGTCAATTTCACGAGATCGATGTGAATGGAAAATGCCGTCTTCTGTAAAACTTGTCTCTGTTCTGTAGCACTTGTATTCTGTGAAATGTCGAGATTTGAAAATGAAATGTGTGCACATGTGCTGCATATATATACGTGTGTGCTGTGTACCGGAAAAATATGCAAGTTTCATCGATATATCCGATTTCTCATTGATCGATTGTTTATGTATTTAATCGAAGTTGATTCGTGTAAATAGTGACTAATCTACGATTTGATCCACTGTAATCCAGAAGCAAATGTTTTGCTTAACATTTGTTTCCGTTGTTTTTACTTAACATTTACACTTCGATACAGGCAATGTGAATGAATGTTGTTTTTGATTCGGTAGCATTTTGTTTCGTATAGATTATAATCAAGATAAAAAAAAACATACAGTATTGGTTGATTATTTGTATTTTGTTGGGTATTTTTTATAAATATTTTTGTTTATATTAGGATATTTATTTTTTCGTTTTTTTTTCTCCTGTTGCTAATGCATTCCATTTGTCCGTGTTTATTAAAGTAAATGTGAAATGTGATGAATTCTTTCATTCGTAATTTTGTTTAATATGCAAATAGCATTCACTGATATTGATTTAAATTGATCGATTGTTCGCAACAATTGTCAGAATTATTTGGCGATGAAAATCCTCTCAAAGTATTACGTTTTTCGTCCTTTTTCCTCAATTTGAAATAATGTTTTTTTTTTTCATCTCTTAATCTGGTTCTAGATTTCATTAAAAACCATAAAGAGCCAATCAAATTGGATAAAGATTGTTAAATCGGTTTAAATGATATTTTTAGCTACATAAAAAAGCCGTGTCGTTTGACACGTGCCAATCTGAAGCCCACATTTTGGTCGAATATTCCATCTTAAATGTATATAAATATAGGTAAACAGGTGAACAGATCTCTAATTCTTCGAATAAATTTTGTTTTTTTTTATTCATTATTCTGAATTTTGTGCTCGGTTTATGCTATTTGATATGTGCTCACCGAGTGAAGAGCTCAGCTTAAACGAAAACGACATTGATTAAGATTGTGACCCTATGTCACAAAAAAACAAGAATGTGAAAGAGCACAAACACACACACACAAACTACGAACAACAAACAACCAAAAAAAATGTCTAGAGTCGAATATGGAATGTGTTTAAAAAGTCTGGTGCTCTGGTGACTACATGATCAAATTCTAAGAATGATAGCTTTCCATCGCCATCAACATCCGCCTCCTCGATGACTTTTTCGGCAATTTGTTGGTGCTCTTCTGGCGACAATTCATTTCGTGTCAACGCTTCAATGACCGATTTCAAATCCGATTGTCCAATGAAACCATCCTTATCATAATCTAAAAAAAACAAAAACACAATATCGAATCACAAATGACAAAAAAGAAACCGAAACAACGAACGAAAATACAAATACGAATGAACGAACGAATTGAATCAACAACACAGAAGAAATAAGATGTATTTTTAAAACTACCGTAAATTTTAAACGCATAAAACACTTTGATATCACGAGGGCAATGTTCGCTGAACACGGACAACAAATCCAAAAAATCTTCGAATGTTAAATTGCCCTTTCCATCGCGAGAAAATGCTTCGCATATTCGTTGCCTGAATGGATTCTCACGTAATTCTTCCAGAACGGTGATGTCTTGATGCGACAGCTTTATGCTCGATGCTTGACCTTCAGTCATTTTCTTTGGCACTAAATCCGGCCGTAAATCGCGAAAATGTTTGTAAACTCTGCACGTTTTGAATTTTCAGTTGTTGTTGTTGTTGGTTTTGTTTCAGTTCGTTGAATGAATCGTTTTGTTTTTCACCATGCAAATGTAAACAACAAATACACAAAAAAGGAACAAGATAAATGTTTATGTTTGTACAATTTCAATCATTATAAATAAATCCAAATGAAGAAACAGTTTTATTCACTCTATTTCATATATATAAATTTTTTTGATGTTCCACAACTCAAGCAATGTGCTTTTTTGTTTGATATTCTCTCAAAATGTAAATTACTCTCAAAAATTTTATGAGAGTTATTAGCTGCTATAATACATATACACACACACTCGCACGCGCGCACATTTTCAGTTACCTTAATATTTCTTTTCGCGTAAAGAAAGTACAATCCTATAAATAGATGAAAGAGAATGTTTATCGTGAAAATTAATATCGCAACTGTGATAGTCCCACATAGCAAGTAAAGTTTATGCATTTTTTTGTGTTTTTTATGCTTAAACTTTACAACTGTTTTTTTTTTTTTAATTCTGTCTTCAACTCACTTGATAATCGTCCAACTGTTGCTCGGTAAATGTTGCGATTTTATTGCCCATTGTTTTTGAAGATTCTTTTGATGTTAAACTCAATCAAACAAATGAACAAAATTTAGACAATAACACCAAAACGAAGAGTGATATTCGTTAGCCGTATCTCAAATCGACTTGCACAATACGACAAAATTATCAATTTTCAAAGCGAATGCTCAAGCCCATAGCAAACTATCGACTTCAAGATTGATTGTGAAAGCAACCGAACAAAAAAAAATTGCGCAGTGAAGGCAACACATTGTGTACCATCCATATTGGTGCTATTCTTTTCCATTCTTTCTTTTATAATTAATGTATACGTGAATGCGTAATGATGTGAAACGCCAAGAGCAAAAATCACCCATCGTGATGAATCGTCACCCCAATTTATATCAAAACTATGGTTGCTCACATTTTAACGACAAATTGTACAAAACACATAGACAACGTATGGTATTTCTTGTTTATAGTAAATGTGTGTCATTTTTACTCTTACCTCTTCGCATAAATGATGTTTCGTGCATGAAATGTTCTTTTTTTTATGCGGAATACATTTTTTCCTACTGTTTACACGGATTCTTATGACCATAAAAAAATGATCGTGCGGTCTTCCATGCTGAAAATTAGCGAATGTCTTGTATGTGTATACATATGATAAAAGCTTTGCAATGCATTGAGTGCGATACACCCGCTGTGCCACTCCTTGTTCTCCCCAATTGAAATTAATCAACCGACAGACATGAATATATGCGATATGTGCGAGACGTGGGCAAACACTTACATGCAAAACATTCATACAAAACAGCACAGTTTAGTTGGGCGCTTAGTTTTGTTCCTTTTCAGAATATACCTTATCTATATCCATACTATGCCACTTTTCAATGGAAATTTCATACTTTTTTCGGAAATTAAAAGAAAAACAAGTTTGAATGCAAATGTTTTAAATTTACCAAAATATTCTCTGCACCTAGACATTTTCCATTTATTTCCATAAAATTGTTGAAGCATATTGAGAGAGCCATTTCAGGAGAAATCAGAATGGAATGACTAATTATAATTTCTATATTATATTTATGTTATCACATTTCTTTCATTGCAAATGACTTAATGAAATGAAATATCTTTATGTATCACATTTCAGTAATATAAAGTCATTTTGGTTCGGAATTTGATATCTATATTGGGTTTAAAATTTTGTAAGACAGCTACATCTGTTTGAATACAATGTGCGATAGCTTTTTCGATGAACTTTTCGTCGAAGCTTCTTGGTAAAGCGATTTCAAGCTCATAATCACACAGTAAGCAAGCTTTAATAAATCTCCATTCAAACAGTTACGCACGAATGAACAAAAAATCCGTTGAAAAACGAAAAAAAAAACATATAATTCGATTGATTGTGTGGCTGATTTGAATAAGATAAATGACAAATTTATTCACACTATATATATATATATATCATGTAATTGATAGCATGATTTCAGCTATAAATATTCTACGGAATTTCGTTTATTATGAATTAAGAAGTGCACTTGAAACTTAATTTTTAAGTAATTTTCTGTACGTTTTATTCGGTATACTCTAAAATCGGAATCATATTACCTAATACAGTTCGTGAACAATGGCAATTAAATGGCACATACCATTCCAAAAAACTTCACATATTTTCAGAGAATGTAATCAAGGCAATGAATAAATATGTAATATATCAACCTAAAATACTGGCAAACAAACACATTTGTAACACCTTTGAAATATTTGCAAATTGCATTTCTTTTCAATCATTTTATATGTTTTTTTATTTTTATTGAAATATCACTTTTTGAATTCCTCAGTGCGGAAATTTCTAAGCGCCAATTATTTGAATGTTTGAATGGCAATATTGTGAATATTCTATTAATTTTACCGTGAATAATACCGGAAATCCCGTAATTTGAACTTCAAATGTCATCCAAATGAGTATGGTACATTTTAAAAGAAAATTGAGGTATATTTTAGACACAATTGTTTGGATATAATCGCAAGTTTGGAATGCGACATGACTGAACTTTTGAATATACATGGTAAATAAATAATGATTTGTTTCATAGTTTATTGCTGAATGGAATAAATGGGCTGGGCAAAAAGATGCAATGCACTAGTGTTTAATCAAACATATGATTGAAGGCAATATCGGTCTTTTATATAGATATCTTTAATGTGATGATTATATCCCAATCACACCAATGTCTAAAAATATTAACCGACTGAGATAAGTTGAAAAATTGTATGAAAAACTATGAGAAACAATCCACTTGGCCGGCTCTAGCCAAATTAATTCATTTATACATGACTGATTGTAAGTTACTTTCTTGCACGCCTCCAATTTAACACCAACCACATTTTTGAGTTCAATTTGTATTAACACTTTCTGTTTTTCTGTTGTTTAAAACATAAAATAAATTCATCCGATAATTTTTCTACATTTCAATTTTGTGACATTTGCTGAATGGAGTTCAATAGAATACAGAATGTCCATAATATGTACCAATATTTATGTGATAATCAATTACATGAATTCATCGGAAAACAAAATTTGACTTTGTAATAATATTTAGTATGCCTTACATAATTGATTCGACATTGAATGTGGTAAGCACATTTCTTTTGCCATCATATAGAATTTAAGCGAGCGTTTTTTTTCCTTAACATTTCAATACATATTTTATCACTACAAAATTGCGTATGAAAAAGCTTTTAATTTATTATTTATGTTTTTTTAATATTATTAAAACATTCATCTGCGTAGAAAATGAGAATTGCTGGTTTAATCTACTGTATTACTAGTGATTACATATTATTTCAGAAAAAAAGGATATATATCATCTGATTATTGTGGGATATAATGTGAAAAACTTACTCTCATGAAACACTGAATTCAACGAAAAAAATTATTGAAACTGTGATTCATTAATTCAAATAAAGTTCCAAGTGTCACTAAAAGTTGTATTATAATTATTTGAACCAAATAGTTTGGTTAGAGTAAATTATCCTAAATATTTTTCCCTTTTTTTGAACTGAAGCAGAACAGGTTATTGCGCAAAATGTAAAAGTAAATTTGCAGCACATAGCAAATGCAGCACTTTTTTGGGTATTTTTATACAAAAATTTATAAATGCCTTTGCAAATATTTAAAATTGAATTTGTGCACTTGAATTGTGTTGTTGATTTTATCTTGGTTTGTTTTTAGGAATAATTGATTTTCAGTGTGTGTATTTTGATACTATTTTATTTGTAGGTGCTGTGAACAGACAATATATTTAGCTGTCGTCATCTGGATATTACAGCTCATCTGGATATCGTCAGCAGATGATACAAAGTGAAAACAATGGAATTGATTGTTATAGGTATATACGTTTATTATATACTGGTATTACTATAACAATCACTTCTATTGTTTTCACTTCGCATCATCTGCTGACGGCATCCAGATGTGCTGAAATATCCAGATGACGGCAGCCAAATATATTGTCTGGCTGTGAATTTTAAAGAAAATAAGAGCTTTTAAATAACTTTAACTAATTTAATGGAATAAGATTCATTTTCTTCGCTACATTGATTAATATATCGATTGTCTTCTCGATGCAATTACTCCTAGGATCATTGATGCCAATGGAACGAAAATACCCGCGAAAAGACGACCGGAATCTGCAAACAAACAAACGAAATGCATTTGCTTGATTAAAAGTTATAACATCACAAGCAAGAATGAAAATCTAAAAAGAATTTAATCGTCAACTGTTGAGAGAGGTGTCAAATGGACAAATGAGAATGGTTCGGACATAAATTTGGCATCCATTGTGTAAAGATGAATCAGTACTATCAACGAAAATGGATTTGGACCGCCGCATAATTTCCATTATATTATTATTTTGAAACATTGAACATTTTATTTTTACTAAATATTCTTGAAATTTGAAATTATCCGGCTACGTTTGCAAACAAAAATTTTATTTTTTTGTATACGTAAAATCTATAGAGAATGTACTTAAAATGCTGGCCATATATACTTCAAAAATTCAGTAATTTTGTTGTTTAGCTCCTTTTTTTGTTAGCTTCATTTAGACCGTCTATATGACCCTATGCATTTCTCAAGAGCCGATATTCAAAAAAAAGAGAAAATTTTGAAGACGAACGAAAATAGTTCAATCAACACCTGCGTGCAAAACTACTGATTGACTAGTCAGTTAGCTAATTAGGATCGTTATTGACTTAAGCCAACTGAGATTGAAGTTATTTACAGTAAGTTTGACTTTTGAATTGAATTCAGTACAGAAAACTCTAAGTCAAATTTCTAACTTCAATCACAGCCGGCTAACATCCCAAATAGACGAATATAGTCAATTAGGTAAACAGCTATCAGTCAGTCACTTTTTTGTATACAGATGCCCATATTATATCAGCTGTTGCAAAATGTGTTCAGATTATTTTCTGATGTCGTATGCCATTGTCTTGGCGAGTGGTGATTATCCTTTGAACTTAATGTAGCTCAAAAAATGTCTGCTAAGCGATTGGTTAAAAATAAAGCGGTGAAATAAAATCATAAACTCAATTCAAATTTTATGATTGCATTCAATTGTGCTAATTCCTTTCAACTTTGTTCTCAATTCCAATTCATCGGACGGATTAAATTTGTTTTGATCAAATGCGATAAAAATGGCATTGAATTAAAAATAAATGAAATGCACCCAATGATTATAAAATTGTACTTACCATTGCAAGTATTATCTTCGATGTCTTCCGTGAAGCCGGAGATTTCGTCACATAAACAGATTTTGATGGGTGTTATTGCGCTTGGATTTCGATTAAATCCGGTTGTTTTTGTGGCATTTTCAAAACCACAAACCAGTTCGTCACCACATTGCGCATCGTCGTTGCACACATGACGCAATTCTAAAGAAAAAATTAAATAGAGAAACAAATGAAAGCAACCAAATCTCAAATTGGATTAATTCGAACCATTCAATTACACTGTGAATTCACAATAAATGAATCATCAGACCACGATTTAATTTAAATTCCTACATAAAATGAAACAAAAAATAAATAAAAGTGTGAAATCGATGTACAAATGTTTGATGGCATTGAAATACCGGCAAAACTTTTTTCTTTTGTTTCGTAACAAAGTTAATAATGACGAAAAAAACCTTAATAAACTGCGTAAATTTTCATAGAAAATGACTTTGACTTTCAAAACAAAAAAAATTGCTCAGCAGGAGGTAAAATAAGAACAACAAACATAACATATGTGGAGCATTAAGTTCACGCGAAAAAATTATAATGTTTTCGCTGCGCCATTAATTGTGTGGATTTTGCTGAACAATTGATTTGTTATTGGCAAAGAAACGAAAAAAATGTGGTTAAAATATGTCCAATTAAAACAAGCAAAAAAAAAAAACAACAACAATATCGAAACACACATATACCAATCAGATGGAAGTGAAGTGTTTCTTGACTGTATCCAAGTGCTGGGTTTCAATGAAAACAAATTAACAATGACTGCTGCTGAGTCTGTAATTACGCTTCATAATTCTATTAAACTTTTAATCACTTGTGTTTGAATAAGCTTTTATTCATATTTCTATTAACAAAGTGCACATTGTTTGGGTGTTTTTATTTTATTTTCTATTTTTCCTTGTTGTTGTTTTTTTCTTCTTTATTTGATAAAGTGCTTATAATTTTTATTTTTTTAGGTCAAGTGTTCGATTTGCTCAAACTGATTAAGATACACAAGTGAAAGGAATCGTCAAAAGTTTTGATAAGTTTATTAGCTATTGTAACGCAAACATTCTGTGGCAATAATACATTTCCTCGTGAAAGTATGAAATAAAAATGAAAGTGACATGAAATCAAAATTCAATGTGTGAATTGAGAAAGATTTCATTTGGTACACATTTTAAGTATGTTTCGTGTTTTCTCCATTTGGATCATTTTTTTTTTATTTCTCTTTCGCATACAATTGATTTGATATTTTAATAAACTCATTAACTCACACAACTGTGTTCGACTTTTGTGCTTTTTCATTCACTTTTCTTATTTCCAATTAACATAATTCCAAATCTGTTGGTTAATATACACCATTCGCATATGATTTGAATGATTGCGGGACACATTTTACGCGGCACAAACGTTTTACCAAATAGCTGGCAAATATTCGCCAAATAAATCCATCTCAACAATATGGCGATAAGAGCTCTATAATTTTTCTTCAAATTCTCTACCTCTCATGCTCTTCGTCTAGTGACTTTTTCACTCTGGATTTTTCGTGTTTTTTCGATTTCTCAGGGTGATGTGTGTTTGGGTGGTAATTTCATAACATTTGTGCGACACGAAAATTAGTTGTGACGGGGTGCGAATGGCAAAACAATTTTTGACTAGATGGAACTATTAGATGTATACTAGTGTAGTTTCTTGCGTTTTTGCCTTCTATTTTGTTTCGCAACTGGATTGTTTGGCGGCAAACAACCAGAATTCGAGTGCGATTTTTGTTTTGGTTTTTGTTTTCAGACACGCAATATTTGCTATTTTGACTGGATCGCAACTCGAATATAACCTGTCGATTCATCCTTATTATTAGTTCGAACTTCAATTGACCGACTGATTGAGTTTCAGCGCGCGCTGCTTTCGTTTCTTTTTCGTGTCTATGCCTTTTCGCGACAACGTCCACAATTAGCCAGAATACATGCAATCAACTTTATGCAAATTCAGAAACAGATGCTAAGAACTTAATAGCATAAAATTAATTCGTACTTTAAAAATGGCCGTGTATATTTCACATATACATGTATTATAACCACACGTATTGTATGAAAGAACGAAACAAGAAAAAAAACATGGAAAATGTACAAGAAATATTTTACCTTTGGAGGAAATCATTTATTTTTCGCAGAATTATTGAAAGCGAAGAAATTCAATTATATATTCAAGATTTGTAAAAAATGATATCGATGAGTTTGATATCATATGTTCATTCTAAGGAAGTTTACAGTTAAGCTGAGTTGCGATTTCAAGCAATATTTGGATTTTTTTTACAATTTATTAGTTGTTTCCTCCTTGAATTCTCCATAATAAAATAGACCTTGCATTTCTTTTCTTTTTGCTTTCTTGTGTCTTCCCACGACATACAGATTTCGGACTTTTTATCTATTTCTATAACTAATTCCGATCATTTATATTTAAATAGAATCGATCGATTCAAATGAATGAAATTAAATGAGCGAAAATAAAATAAATGAGTTTGAGAGAAAAAAATGTAAATAAAAAAAAAACATGTGAAACTTACGTTTTACAGTATCCGCACATTGCCCGTTTTGTGGTGCTTTGTTGTTTCCGCATAGACATCTTGTTGTTTTTTCCACACCATCACGCACACAGCTGGTGTGTGATATGGAAGCACAATCACTTTGTGATGAACACTCACGTGCTTTAACTAAATAAACAAACATTCATAAGTAAAATGGGTTTAGAATATGGCTCAATATAGAGAGTGTCTCATATAAGTGGGCCACTACTGAGGGTATAAATTTCGATTTTTTCTCCTGTCTTTCATCTTTTTTTGCTTTCTTTGTTGGGTTAGAGAATGATCCTTGAATTGGATATTGTTCAATGTTGAAATTCTTCACTAGTCAATCGTATTTATTTATATATCCAAAAGAATTGATTTATTTCTGCTTTTCAAACACCTACCAAAGTTACTCAGGGTGGCTTAATCTACTAGAAAAACATGGCGTGATGGTTTATCTTTTTTATTAAAATTCATCCCCCATCGAGATTTCACAGATAATGAAAACTTACTTTTATTAAAAGATCTTTGAATTATAGTAAAGACTTTCAGTTTTGGAATAATAAAGCTATTGTCATTGACACAGATAAGCTATAGTCTATATTTCAAATGACATTAATTGTCAGGGGAAATTTCATGAAATAAAGGACATGAGAGAACTTTTAATGTAAAGAAGAAGAACAATTTTTTTCTTGTAAAGTATGCGATTTGGTCAACCTTGCCATGTTTAGCGATTTGATGTTAAATTCAATTTAAGAAAACCCAAAAGAAAGTTCAAGTCTACTCATTTCGAAAAGAAATCAATGACAAATAACATTAATTTGGTAGTTTTGGCCTTTTTCTCACTTAGATTCGAGGATGACATTCGAAAATAAACAAAAACGTAAGTAAAATGTAGGCGTAAATTCAAACCTGTGGGTGGTGGTGGTGGCGGCGGTGGATTTTGTGGACTTTTACCGAATGTTGTTAGTGCTGTTGAGCTTACACCAAACAATACTATGAAAACGGCAAACAGCATGGTCAGGCTTCCACATTGTGTGAATCGTTTAAGTGGCTCCATTATTATATATGTGTTTATATTTTTATTCTTTTATTTTTCTGAATGAAAATTCCGAAGTCACTCGTTTGACTTTTTTTCCTTTAAAAAGTATGTAAGAATTGCCTTTGGATTGTTTTTTTAATTGACTAATCCCTATAAATCTGTTCCAAATAAACTCACGTAACTTAATGATCGAATAAAAAATCACATCTGTTTAAATTAATACACAAATATTCAATTACTCCGTCATTAAAATCCACATGTTTTTAACGTATTAAGATTATTACTGCGATATTTGATTTTTAATTTTAAAACAACCGAAGTAATGCTTTGATTCGAATAACAACAGAAAAAAAACCGTTACGTTGTTTGCTTTGATCGTTCGAAATCAGAATCGTATTCGCTCGTGAAATAGGGTAATTTCGTTTCTTTTGCAAGCGCACAATAAACAAAACACATCCGTCTTAATGGAAAACCACGAGAAAAGTGAAATTAAATCGTAGAAACGAAAGAGAACGTGATCTAAGTAATCAGAGAGTAAAAAAAAAGTTAAAAACCAATAAATAAATTACCATAAAAAAACGCATGCGTATAATCGGCAAGAACGAACGAGTGAAGAGAGCGAAATGAAATAGTAATACTTGGAAATAAACGAATTTTGTAAGTAATGTGAAAAAGTGGTAGCAACGATATGAAAACTAAGAAAATTCTAAACGAAAAAAATAAAATAAATTTGAACATACATCGAAGCAAGACATTTTGCACATGCACACCAACACAAGAAAACTATTAAATAAGCTCACTGTTTAACATGGTGTGTGGCAGTGAAAAGGAGAGCTTTGTATATATTTCATCATCACAACGATGTAGAGAAATTTTGAGAATAAGGAGAAAATAGAATCGAAAAACTATGTTCGTGCAAATAATATATTTTCTTCAAACGTTCACTTTATTTTTATATACGCTATTCGTACCCATAGGCGATTAATAATAATGAGTTTATATTTTGGCTTTTGTTGATTTGAATATATAAATATATATAGATGTGTGTGTATGTGGCAAAATATTGAGTTCTCTCGTATTGTAATCACAATCGAAATGCTCATTATTTATTTTTCGTCTTTGCGCACTAAATATAAAAAAATACGTTCGTAAATCCGGAATTAATATTTTTATTACATTCATGAATTCGAATGAACTTTTGCGATTTGTAATCTATTATTTCAATTGTTTTCTTTATTTTCGAGTTGCATTTATTATATATGTATATTTGCTAATTTAAGCTCGAGCCAGTTTGGTCCGTTGCTGATCAGTCAGTTGACATATATACGTCAACTGTCTATGTAGGTATTGGCTGAATGAACTTTTTCCTTTTCCGTAATTCACGTCTACACCATAGCGTGCTGCTGATCAACAGCAAAATTCATTGGCAACAACTGATCGGTTGGCTCAATCTTCAATCTGCATATTAGATTTCGTAAAAAAAGAGAGATATATCGGGTGCACGAACACCCAATTCCAATTAATTTTCCGTTCGAAAGTTTGTTTTCTTTTTATTTGTTCATTTTTATCGTGCTTAATATGTATGATTTTTCTTTGTATTCCAAACGATCGATTTTGTTTTTATTATAATAAATCGAACTATTGAACGATTGAAACCCCTTTATATCCAGTAGTGTATTTTCATATACGTTCAAGTACAGCACATTTCAATGCCACCACGCATATGCCCACAGAGGCAAAGGTAGGTTGCGTTTTAATGGAGGTAACACGATAAACAACAATCTGTTGAATCTAGTTTTGTTGATTGCCTTTTTCGTACAACGAACATGGAATCAATACGATATACAGTATGTTTCATTATAGAGAGAGGTTGATTAAACTACCACAAATTTCAAATATCTTAAAAATATTTTTGGTGTTGCCAGATGAGACTCTTAGCTACTACACCAATTAATATTGACAGCTCTCAAATCAGTACAGTGTTTGTTGTGCAACGAAAACATTAATTCCGAACATTTTCATTCACGGTTTGAAGCCGTTTTTCTGTATTTGCATCCAAAAGGATTGCATCGACTGCTAATTACATTAAAAAGTCAAAAGAGTTCGTAACAAAGTGAATCCAACAGTATAAACATGAAAAAAATGTGAACGACCAGCCCAATCTGAAGCCAAACCGAGCCCTAGGGGACATTCATACTAGAAAAACTAATGAAACTAGCAGCAACTAGCAGCGACTAGCAAGCACTAGCGTATTTTAGTCCAAAGCAAATGAATTGAGGCATGTAAAATATATTGTAGCATGCGTAAGTCGCTTGCAAACGAACCAAGTGAATAGCGGAGACGCACGAAAACGAAGTGAGTGAATAGCGACAACGAACGTTATTATCCGTTGCCGCAATACACTCACTTCGTTATCGTGCGTCTCCGCTATTCACTTGGTTCGTTTACAAGCGACTTAAGCATTACTGTTGTTTCTTTTATGTATCATACGATACGTCTAGGTATTTTCAAAACACTAGAAAAACTAGCAGCTACTAGCAGCACTAGTGTACTCACTAGTAATACTAGTAAGCGATTAGCGAATACGTAAATAAAACTAGCTTACTAGAATTGCTACGAATGTCCCCTAGACCGAGCCTCCTCGCCACAGCAAGATAAACGGATAGTCAAGTCTTTCGATGAAAATTTGGGTATGTCGTTGAGCCAAGACGGTGAAAGGCTATACCATCCTCAAACAGACATCTCGTGCTCCACTGCCAAGAAAAGATTAGATGTTGCCGGTGTTCGTTATCGCAGTAAATTGAAGAAATCACTTTTGACAGAAAACCAGAAGAAAAACACATTGACTGGGCAAATCAAAATTCAACAGGAGATTGGAGCGAAGCTATATACACTAACGAGTCATTCTTTTGGCTGGTGAATAGCACCCATGCCTAGTCTAGAGCCGAAAAAAGAGTGGTCGTTCGCACGGTAAATCATCCGAAAAAGGTGCATGTTTATGGTTGCTTCTGTGAAGCTGGTTTTGGAAAGTTGACCATATTCACGGGCATTCTAAACGCCATGAGGATGAACCAACTTTATGCATCGACAGTGTTACCCACCGCCAAAAAGTTCTATGGCAACGACAATTCGAATTGCCTTCTATTAGAAGACAACGATCCAAAACACAAAAGTCGTCTGTGCAGTGCTTGGAAAGAGGAAAATGACATAAAATAAATGGAGTGGCGCCACAGTCACCCGATTGCAATCCGATCGAAAATGTTGGGGCTATTATTAAGGCAAGGCTTCGTGGTAAAACACACCGCAAGTTGAAGCAGCTCATTTCATTCATTCAGCGTCAGTGGAATAGTTTTCAACGCGAATATGCTGAAACAATGGGAGGAAATGACAGCAAATTTTAAAATTGGCGCGCTGTTTAGTTTCGATTTGAGTTGTAAAATTACATTGACGTCCCCTTTGAAATTCGGTGCGCCACCGTCGGCTCAAAGAGACTTGAAGTCACATCCTCTCATTGTGCTGAAAATTTGAGTAAAAGTATGGCCAACAGATGTGCCCGTGTGATCGAGGAAGAAGGAGAATGGATTAAATATTAATTTTTGGCGCCGTAGCTTAGATACTAAATAAAATGTATATAAATTAATTTTGTAAAACTCTTGAGTTTTATTATAAAAAATCAACCTCTCTCTATAATGAAACATACTGTAAGTGAAAATTATGCAATTTCTTTCTTTGAAATCGCGATCGTTATAGATATCATAAGCGACCTTAAATTCTAAGGCTTAGATACTCTTTTTAGTTCTTTTTTTAAAAAAAAAAAGCAATCACTTCAAAAAAACGGCGGTCAAGTGTGTCATTTTCTTCTTTTTTCGCGCATACAATGACACAAGATCCAATTTAAATGTTATTTGAAGAAGAAAAAGAAAAAAAATCCGCATGCAAAAAGGATAATTTCACCGTATTTTAATTATTCGCTGGAATTTGCATAGATTTTCGATAAATTCCATTGCTTTGATTGTTGGAAGAAAGTGTATTGTCTCGATGTGTGTATTAAATTGTATGTTATGTACACAAAATCGTTTTCATTTCGATTTCATTTCGAGAACCATTTTTTTCAATTTTCAACCGTATGTTATTCGCATTGAAATCAAAATAAATATATATTTAGTTTTATGTGTGTGTGTGTGTTTCTCTCCATTGTAATTGTGTGTTATCTTTCTGTAAATCTATGTGCGCTAGTCAGGAACTAACTACCATCGTTTCTCGATCCGTGTTTGGCTATTCGGAATGGTTTACAATTCTCGTTCTGTTTGAAGTCGAAACGAATTTAAAACACGCAAATAATGACGTAAGTAACGTCGAAATGCCGATGCAAGAATAGTGTTAACTATAATTCGGAAGCAACCACTTCAGTCAAATAGCCATTGGTGCGCGCCTATAGTAGCCAGGTCAAGTTTTTTTTACAGATATTATGATTTCCGTTACGAATTGACCGTCAATACTCCTGCACATTTGATTTTTTTCCGAACTTTAATTTCCCGTAATTGCATTTGAAGTGAATATTGAAGAACGTTCAGTAACAATGACACACTTTAATTTTGATTTTGTTTTGTTGCTTTTAAATCATTGCAATTCTGGTGCAATTGATTTTATGGCCAATTCAATATTTGCTTTGTTACACCGTTAAATGTTGATTAATTGCTGGCAACTATTTTTAGCCCCAGTTCACGCAATGCTTGAAACATGTAAAACGAACTATAATTATGACTTTACATGTGTAATTACCAAAAATATTCATTTATATTGTTGCCAATTAAATCTTATGCGTCTCTGCATCAGAAAAAATAGAGAGTGTTTGACCTCAGACCGTGGATACCAAAAAGCTAATAATTTCGAATGGGTATGCGTCATCAGCATTACGCTATTGTAAAACTATTCGGTAAACCAATGACGCATTAAAGCGCCTTCACACCAAAACCACTTCAATCATGCTATTCTGAATGATTAATATCGACAATTCAAAATTGTGGCCCCATAACATTTTCGAGCAACTAAACTTTCAAAGTTCGCGACAACGACACATAAAGATTCACTATGCTTGAAATCGACGGGCCGTACATTTTAAATGGCAACCAATTGAAAAGCATATTAGATTTTATTGCGAATGAGTTTACATATCAAATGAATAAACAAAACCAAATACACACGCTCAATCTCATGTTAATCTCAACTTATTTTCGTTTCGTTATACCACTTTTTTCAAAAGTCACTCACTTATTGAATGAAATCCATTTATTATCTGAGCTTATATTATTTATTAGGATGCATCTTTTTTTTGCGATAGTCATTGCATAATCAAAAAAACACTCGTGTTTGGCTTCACATTTTATATTTCTTCGTTTAATTTAAATAGCAATTTGTTTTGAATTTAATTTGAAAATCGTTCTTTCTTTGTTTACAAATTGAAATTAGCAAGTGAATAAATTATGGGTATGCATATGTTAAGCCCGAACAACAAACACAACAACAACCACAGACACACTCACATACACACTATGAAAAAGATTAATTGCGGCTTACGCGGCTCCTTTCGTCTTTGTTCATTTTTTTCCATTCTTTCTTTTGTTTCGATGTGCAAAAGAGAAGAGAGATGGCAGCAGAAAAAAATGGCCGAACAAAAATAAAGAAAGAGTGCATGATGACCTTTACCTTTCTCATTCAAGCTTGAAAAATGCCCTTATTCGATTCTTTGTTCGTTTTCAACACCACTCTTATTAAGAGTCTCTTAAAAATGAACGCAGAAAAAACGAACGTACCATTTATTATTATGATTATTCGACTCGCCGCACTCAATTCTATTTTTTACCATCAAATCGCTCGACACCACAAAAAAACAATCGGCAAAAAAAACAATAAGGAATGAAATGTACGTTTTTTCTACAGCTGAACTTTGCAAGCCGTTATAATTACTTTATTGTTTCTTTAATCAAACTTACAGCGACTTTTATTCAAATTATATAATTGATTATGTGGTTTAATTTTTGAAAAATACATGCATCAATAAATTGTTTTATTTAAACACCGTTTTAATTAGTCTTCTTTCTTTGCTGTGCAATGTGAAATGCTTGCTTTTCAATAACTTCCACTAAATATTGACACTTCAATCATATCCATTTTATTTATACAATTTGATTAAATTTTTGGATTTTAATTTGCTGTCAATCAATTCCCAAGTGAAAAATGTTGACTTTCACTATAGTTCACTTGAAATTCTTCAGACTTTCCACTCAATCGTTCTTTTCAACTTTCATTTCTCAATGCATTGTTTACACACTAACACTTTCACTCGGGTGAATTCATATATTTGAAGTCATGACATGGCATTTAAATATTTCTAATCGACCTTTGATTCCTACACTTAATTGAAAAAATAAATTTTGAAAAAAAAAATATGAGTACACAGCCGAAGAGTTAATACATAAAATGAAGCATATCTTTTATGAGGTTCATTTGCAACGATGAGACGAACTGGGTCTAATATATGCAGAGATTGTTCCTCTGAGGAGGAGGATCGGTGAGGAGGACGAGAGCGCTGAGGAGGATCCTCCTCCTAAAGTGAGGAGGAAAAGTTTTTTTAGTCAATAATTTTTTGTTTCATCACGAATAATGTATTTTTCATTTTTTTTTATACAAAATAATTTCCTCATCAGCGCTCTCCCCCTCCTTATTTTCCTCCTCACCGATCCTCCACCTAAGAGGAACAGTATCTGAATATATTTTAAACCAGTTTTAATTATTTTACCTATCTTTCACATTCACACAAATAGCAGCCAACTGTGGGGAATTCCCAAACTGTGGGGAATCAATCTTGAAGTCAACTTTTTTCGTTAATTTAAATAAACGTGGACTTGAATATACGTGGATCCAATCATTTTGTTATAAAAAATTTACTTAAATTTCAAGTTTATCAAGTTATACTAATATCACAAACTTTCTTCTTTTTTGGCAAAAATACGCATAAAATATTCATAAATACTATATCATGTTTGGAACACAAGATTAGATGAAACTGAACTATAAACAATTAGTAAACATTAGCCTTATCGAATTTTGTTCCTCTCGGATTTTTTGCCGATGTTAAATATAATCAAATACGACAACAATCAAATACGACAAGGTTAGTAAACATAACATAGATTTTAAAAAATCCACTAAAAAAAACAAAAACAAAAATTGAGTAAGACTTGATGGAAATTCAAATTTATATCTAAACTATTCATAAAAAAGTCCGTTTTTTCGCGAGAGAAAACTTCACGAATCACATATGAGAGTTTTTAAATAAAATGGAAAAATTACAAATTCTTCTCATGGACCTCATCTGAAGATTAGGATTTATATTAAAGCTTTTCTTTTTAGTTGGTGTTTGATTACATCTTGGTTGTATGTACGTCATCCTTATATTCGAATATGATTTGTTGATCAAAAAATTCGAATAGAATATTTATCGTAATTTCGATTAAATTCAACTCATTCAAAAAGAAAAAAAAAAACAAAGTGAAAAAAATGCAAGTAAACAAACACCTGTTTTTCTTGACATGAACGTAAGTGAAAAGTTTTCACTGAAAACTGAACGGAAAATCGATTTACACTTGGCAAAGAGATGTTGCATGTTTACGACACCATTTGATGTGCATACAAATCTATGAAACATGCAATAATTTTAGTAAATATTAACCGGTGTTTATACATACCGAGAAAAACGGTTCAGTTTTCATATGTAAGTAATTTTTTTATAGTGGTAAGATCCCATCCCAATAGTAAAATATCAACCCATATAGGTTGATAGGATAATCCTCTTTAAGTTCGTTTTTATTTTAAAATTGTTTGACGCCCCAATCGATTGTTTTTTTTTTCCTTTCGACAAATCACATTTTTTTAAAGTATATCTATGTCAGTGTTAACACAAACCATCAATAAACTAACCATTTTTCAGTTTCAAACGCACGTCCAGAGACCTGTTCTGCTGTAAAAAAATATGCAAAAGATAAAGCCAATCAATTTTATTTCTTATGCCATTGAAAGACACGTTTTTTTATTTACAATAGACCATGTGAAACTCCCGAGGTGTGTGTTTTTTTGTAATTCTAAATCGATTTAATTTATGTGTGATGACATTTTGTACGATGGATAAAAGAGTTTCGAATTAAGCTCCGACAAAAAAATATTTTACGACTAAAACAAACAATGTTAAAAATTGATATAATATAATTAGTTTTCGATACGTTTCGTTGTTTGTTTTTCATTGTTTCTTTTTTCTTCTTCAAAAATAAATTAACAGTATTTATAATAATCAAGAATTTTTTTCATTTCCTTTTGTGTAAAATACACAAAGATTCGTTTGTTTCAGTATTTCATCATATTGATGTTGAACAAGTTTGTTTTTATTTTCAATAACAATAACAGAGAAAAAATCTTGTGAATATTAATGAAACGATATTGTGTGATTTTTCTTTTTTTTATTATTATATACTTAAGACTCGTTAAGACTTATGATTCATAAATCGCATAATGACCGAGATTTGTGTTCTATTTTAGTTGATTTTTTTTACTTTATAATGACAGCTTTAAATCGCGTATACATAGCAATTAATTCTAAAATAATAATAATATTTCGTGTGTGTATGTGTGAGAGAGAGAGAGAATGTGTGTATTTGTGTGTTTGTTAATAATAAGCTTCTTTTAGCGCTGCACTAGTTATAAGTATTGCTGAGCCTATAAGGATTAATGTCACAAGTTTCAGAAAGCTGGGGCGCCCGGAAGATTCTGCGGAACATGGAACGTAACAAGAATATGATAGAAGAAAAGAGAAAAACACATGAAATTTATGAGTACAAATTGCAATTATTAAATTTAAATGACTCATGTGATTAAATGCAATAAAAAACCAGCACAAAAATACGATATTATTTGTTGAAAAACGACACAAAAACAAAAATATAATTTATGTCATTCATTCGTTAGTTCTTCTCTAATGCGAACATTACATCATATCGCCTTGCTAAGTAGCAATAAAAAAATGAGAACAACACATTTTGACTGCATTTATTATGTAATTGATTATTGTTATCAACATCAATATTTCTCGTTTTTACAGTCAAAACACTTTTTTTTGATAGCAAAACATTGAAAGGACAATTAATTCGAAAAAAAAAATTGCGTTTTTCTCAAGCGTGATTTGGACACTTACTTTTCTTTCGTGATGGTATGATACAAATTTGCTTTTCTAAATTTTTGGCTAATCCAAATGGACACACTTCATTTGCTAGTTCAATACCTTCAACATTTCGATTAGTTGAACCCTCCGCCGATCGACTTTTCGAATCGTCAGCATTTTTTTTGCGATAATTTGAACGTTTTTCATATGAAGTAGTTACGGTCGGTACATTTCCGTTTTCATGCTCTTCCAACAATGGTTTCTCTTGCTCTTTCTCGCTATATTCCCCTTCAACCGCATTTTCAGCTGCTAAAATGAAATTGAGCAGACATAAAAAAAAGAAACAAGAGCAAAAACGACAAACATAAATTCATTACAAAATATGATACAAATATTCAACAACACCAGAAAAAAGAAACTCATTTGAAAATTGGAATCTAAATTAATTTCGTCTAATTATTTCTCTCTTTTTTTCCACTAAAATAAATTTCATTTTTCAAAAGGATTCATCAAAGTTGGAAAAGTGATACATTTCGCCTGAAAAACACTTTCACGCGCGTGAGCTTAGCAATATAGGAAGAATTTGGAATATGAAATTTAGCAAACAACATTTTTGAAAATCCAAATGTATTGTCTGTATTTTAGTTTACAACTGACACAATTGTACTGAAATCACACAATATTGCCAGTGGCTGCAAAATATATTGCACATCATAATTTCACGATACAAATCGAGCGAATGCTATTAAATGAATTAAACAAATGTTTTCAACTGATAACTGGGCGTAATATGCCGATTTCACAAATCGCTGTCGAACATGATAAAAAGAAAATTTCATGTGGCAAAATTGATCCAATCAATTTCTCTTGATCAGTTTTAGTTTATGACTGAAAGGTTCATGTTTGTACAATGACATTTAAATATTTTATCCATTGTGTGATTAGGTTTGATTTCAATGTTTAAATTGAAAATTGAACGTACAGTCTTCGATGCATGGATCCATAAAGTACACCAAACTAGATTTCCATTTACTTGGGCGACGCATTGCTGTTGCTGCCGCTGCTGCTGTCATCGATTCGATATTTTCAACGGCAATTTTCGTTATGGCTGAACTATCTGATGAACTTGTACTATATCGATGTGCGGCTATATATTATGCATTATAAATTATTATAAATTGTGGTAAAATTATTGTCAATAGTATGTAATCAAATTGGAAAACAAATTTACCTGCTTCGGCACTGTCTATGCTATCATGACAGTGATCAAAACAATAGCATGGTTTCTGATACTCATTATTAGACACTTCAATCGAATTCGCTCCTAAAACGAATTACAACATAATACCTTTGATTGTTTGAAATTATATTTGATCTTTTGGATGTTTTGACTTTTGGGACTTCTGTCAATCGATGTTTTTTCGGCTAAAACTAAGTTTTAAAACTACAATGATACCTTCGTGAGATTTGTATGATTCAAAGCTCTCGGCATATTCTAGTATTGGAGTCGTGCCTGGACAATGGGCTGCAAATAAAGATTTCATTTAGATTTTTTGTTTCATATTTTTTAAATTAACAAACTTACCGACAACGATTTCATTTCGTGGGGAAATAAGCTTATGAAAGTGGCACGAATCTCTTCTTAAAAAAATTGACGGTCGATGTTCACGTATAAAATATGATTCGCTTTGTGGGCCTGCGTTTATATTAAGTCAATTAAATGGCTTTCAAATGTAAAAGAGAAAATGTAATGATTGAAAAAAATCTTTACATTTACGAAATTCTTTGCGTTTTGTATCGCAACCAATTTTGGCTTGAGACGTGGACGGCTGCTTTTCAATTTGGCTATCATACAATTTTTTTTTCTCCTCTTCGATTTCAAGGCTGAATGCTTGTACCGCAATGTCACGCGATGCTCGCCGGTCGCTGGTACAAGTACCAACGCTGGCCAAAGTTCTTGGTCTTTCATTGGTGGGCGTCTGTATATCGTGATTATTGCTTACATCGCCGGGTGCTACAAATTTAATACACAAACATAAAATAAATAAAAAAAATGTCTGTGAATACAAACAATAAAGAGAGAGAGAGAGAAATCTATTTTCTTTTATATACTCATTGACACCCGACGACATATGTCCTCCGATTGTTTTTCGATAACATCTACTGGTGATCCAAATTCGTCTTTGTGCAATAAAAATTCATAATCGGAATTGTAAAAGCAACGCCCATCATCTCGACTTGGACTATATAAATTGCCTAGCTGCTTACAACGGCCCCTAATGTATGAATGTCCTTCAGCCAATTCGCTTACACCATTACATTGATCTCCGGAAAGCATAAGAACTCATTGGTTTTGTGGATCTCGGTATTCATCGAACATAGTGTATAATTTGAACTTTATTGTATCTGTAAAAAAAATCAAAAATCCAGCAATTCAATACATAACAGTTTCGATACGTGATCAATTGATCACAAATTATGAAATAACGTCTATGTAGTACAAATTAAATCTTTTCGATAGTAACGATTTATTTAGTTTGCTATTTATTGATGAAGGTAATTGCAATGACAACTTTTCACGCTTTATTTATAAATATTTACGATAAAATGGATGACAATAAATGAAAAACCAAAAATTCATTGAAAATTAATGAAAAATATCATGTTTTCGAATTTACACTTTGTAAAAATTTATATGCATTTGTTAAGTTTCAACTATTCAGTAACTATTCATTGTTACCTTTACTTATGAATGATTGTAACGGCCAATAAATGAATAAAAGGAAAGAACACGCGATAACCACTTTTTGAAATCTACCGCCTTGCAAAAGTGTGTATGTGAATATATGTTCCATGAACAATGTGTGTATTTGAGCGCGCTCATATATGCATGTATGTGTGTATTGTATCTTGTTTCATCAATTTCGTTGCTTGATGTGAGCATGGTTGATATTGTAGTCTTTCATTGTTTTTTTTTTTAAATAATGCTATTGATTGACCTAGAATGTTTTCATTTTTCTATTTTTATCTTTGTGTTTTAAGCAGATGTAAAAATGTCATGCGAGTTGTGAATGCGATGAAACTGTCGGAAGTTCGATATGTGATATTTTCATCCCTATTTTTTAATGAATAAAATAATATCAGCCCAAATAAATGTTTAACACAACTATTGTTGATGTCCATTTATTTATTTCGTTTTTTTTTTTGTTCGATGGCTTTGCGAGTAGCTTTGCCGATAAAAACCTGGTGAACATTTAGATTATTGTGTTAATAACAAAACAAGCAATGAATTGTTATCGAATCCATCAAAATTCATGTAATCATTGAAACAAATGTGTACATCTGTGTATATGCCTATCAAAAAAAATCAATTGGTGTTTTGTTCAAATGTCCTTTCTGAACTCACTGACAAAGTTCAACTGAAAATTATATTATTAAACGCTATTTGAATGCATGCATTACAAAATATATTCGCAATGACACCGAACACCTTTCAACAGTTATTATTGTTGTTGTTTTTTATCAAACGCACGAAATGTACTCTATGCCAAAGAGAACAACAAACATTCGGACAAGTCAACATAGTTGCCGTTCATTGTGTGTGGAAAAACAGGTAAACGCATATAAAAAAAACACCCCAATAATATATATGCCGTAATAATATCACCATTTCATGTCAAGTGCTTAACAAATGGTCTTTTCCATATTTTTTTACAATTCACCGAATATTTATTTACATTATTCACTTTATTAATAATAATGATAACAATACATGTATATGTTGTACTTTATTTGATGTTTGCTAATAAAATATTTACGGTGTGTGCAATGTTGATAATAACCGTTTCTAATTTGTGCGTGTTAAGACAATATATTGCGACGACAACATGACCAACACAATATCAGTTTTAAACGAGACAATACACGTTTCATCGAAATTAGAAAAATAAAATTACCAATAATTATGTGAGCCATGTTTTATTCGCTATTAAATAAAAATTTACATCATAGCAAAATGTCAATTAAATTCAAAGTAAATTCGAAAATGCGCATGCAGCGATGGTTGAATTGAATTTACTATTAATAGGTTAAACATTTCAATTGACATAAAATCGCATGTTTTGCTTTCATTCAATGCAATTGAATATTTTACACAGACACTTTGACTGTGTCTACGTGTCACAATCATCCACACTCAACGAGGCACTTGAATTGAATTCATTTCGGAAAAGCGATAGAATGCAAATCTATTTTAAAAAACAGCCGACATACAGCGGATTTTATATCGTCGAATTTGGTTTCATTCTTTCAAGTGGAAAAATCCAAACTACTTGATTTGAATTTTCTTTTTTCGAAAAATAAAAGAAAATAAAAAACACAAAAGAACATTTGATTGGCGTGCATAGTGAAACTATAACTTTATAACAGACAATTTGGGTTAATTAACATATTATAAATTCATGCGGATTTTCAACTTTTTATTGTGCCGAATATTTTGACTATGCAGTTTGTCGTAGAATTTTTTGTTGTAACTTGATATACGTTTCACTAATGAATTACATTCTATCAACGTTATTATTCATTCATGCAATACCATATCTATCAGAATATATTCGTAAATGGCGCCATAATTTGATTTCATGACATTTATTGAGTGCGAAACAACGTCTAATGAATTTGAATTCAAAAAAGATCAAATATGAATGGAAAAAACAATTCGAAATTGTAGCGAGAATTCTTTACAAACAGTCACAACTATAATTTACGAACATATCTAGCCAATTTCATTCTATTTGCAATCCGCTTACATAGATTGCACGAAATGAAGACAAAAAAAGAATACCTGTTGTGCATTTGTTTTGTGACTAGAGTGTATTTGAAAGCCATTTACACGATATTCGTATCGAAAACTTAATTTTCCAGTTTCTGGAACAATGATGAATAATTTGCACTTAAAAGCACTACATTGAACTAAGATATATAACGAAAAAAAACTATTGGATGTATCGATTAATTTTTACCGTTGACTGTTAGATGTCGCCACTTAAACTTGTATGAAGTTTGACAGGTGAATCCAATTGCATTTTGTACATGTGACATTTGCCAATCTAATTCAGAGCAGAAAAATTTATTTTTGACACAGTGTCATTATTTTTGAACCGATTCAAAATGGATCGTGATTCTATGTTTTTCCCTGGGGTCCTTTTGTATTCGATTTTTTCACTTTAAACAAAGTGGAAATACAACAAAAAGTTATGGAAACTTGCGGGAGATGAGACCTCTCATCTCCACAGAAAAAGTTGAATTTGGTGAAAAACAAAGTGGTGAATTTGTTGAGAAACTGTGAACTCACCAAAAATGTTGAATGATGGGCTATTGGCGTTGTTCATTCGATAAAGATGCATGAAAATGCATCAGAAACCACTAGAAGCATTATATTTTGATAAATCAGCCGTTTTAAGTCATTGATGATGAGGCAAGGACAAAGAAATTGGGTGCCACGCGAATTGAAGCCAAAAGTCGTTGTAAGGAGTGTATTCACGTTTTATACACTGCTCCAAAGATACGAAAGGAAGGAATTTTTGTATCGTATTGTATCTGTAAGGGAAGACGGCATCTGCTGCGGCAACCCCAGACGTAAAAGTCAGGGTTCAATCCCGCACAATAATCAAAATAGACAGAATTGCCGAATTTTCATGGTTTGGACGGGATTAAAGGGGTGTGGTGTATTATGACCTGCCGAAACTGGGAAAAACTGTCACGGGGGATTCGTATCAACTACAACCAATACGCAGAGTACTGAGAGAAAAATGACAAAAAACTGCGACACAAAATAGTCGAATGATTTTTAAAAATTCGATATATTTCAAACATCGATAAAAAAAAAGATAGAGGACCCCGGTCGGGATCAGCTTGATCAACCGGCGTACTTTCCAGACCTTGCTCCTTCTGATTATCACTTGTTCCGATCGATCAAAATCAGCTTGGCCGATGTACGCATTCAAAATGTTGAAAAAATGTGAAAATGAGTCGATGGCTGGATAGCTTCAAAAGAAGAAGACTTCTTTCGACGCGGAATCAACATGCTACCAGAAATATAGCTAGAAGTCATAGCTAACTATGGGCAATACATTGGTTAAAAAATATTGTACGGTTTCTATAAAATAAACTTACATTTTCACCCAAAAAACGGTAAAAATTAATCAATACACCCAATAAATTCACCATTTTTTTCGGTTCATTGTTATCAGCATTTAGAACACAACAATGGCAAAAGCACACACCATTTTTTTCGTTTTGATACATAGCACTTTTTGTGTTTCAATCGAAACACGGTGCTTATTTAAAATTTAAGCACTACATTTCATCATTGAATAGTCCCAAAACATTTCGAATCTTTTATGAAAATTCCACTTGATGTGTGTGTGTGTGTGTATTGTATATATGTGCTAACTGAACGATATCGATTATAAAGGACTCAATCTCAATCACTAAATATTTATTACTCCAGGATTATTCATTACTGTTTATGTTAATGACGTTAGAATTTGGCTTGGTATTACACCGATTTTACGACGTTATTGTAGTCTTGTGCATTCAACCCTCTCGTTGAAGAGGCCAGAAAAGAAAAGGTGGACGACAACAGAAACGGGTTATTGCAGCACTTACTGTAATTAATTTACTTCATTAATGCAATATTATATTTCATCTTGGCGAGAGACTCACATACAATGGATCGGTTGTGGTGGATGACTAGCATTATTATATATGTTATTTGGAATTTGAATGCGTTTTGCGTTTACAAACATTTGCACACACTTAACAAAAAAAAATATGTTGTTCATTTACACACCGTCCATTATTCATATATTTATGTTTATTACTTCAATGTATTTGCGCACGAATGTTGTACATATGTAAACCGCAACACGAATAAACGAACAAACAATAGAAGCAAAAAAATAAATAAATAAATATCAGCGTGCACATAGGACAAAATATTAAGCGAAAACACACCGTGAATGCTTCCACACTGACGTTTGCTTGAGCTGTTGTTTTATTTTCTCATTTTTCAACTAATAATTCACAATGTTCATTCACACAAGCAAAATAATTCAGCCAGCTGAACTTTTAAATTTTTATAGTTGTTATTCTAGCCGATGATGTGCATGAGCAAACAATGATGATGACGCTTGATTATTACATTTTCATTAGATTTTCGTCGTCTTAGCCCAGTATATTTTTCTGTATATTACCTTATTATTATTTCTATTAGTTTTCTAGCCCCACTACATATGGCGGCAATATCAAAAAGCGCGGTTGTAAAAGGCGACAATAGCCAACTAATTCAAGCAATCCCCCCACCTTAAGTGAGACGAGAGATAGATGTGCGCTGGATAATTGTTATAGTATTACACATATTTGTAACGATTTTTTTTATGGTATTGAATACGTTTGTGTATATGTTAGGCGCAATATTGATTAGCCGAGTTTCTTTTTTCTCATATTTTTGTTGGACATAAAGCTTTTCTATCGTTTTATCATTAAACAACTGCATTTAAAACACAACACACAGTTTATTGTTTCCAAGAAATTCAATATAAAAATTCCATCAAACAACATTCGCAACTTCATTAGTGTAAAAGATAATTTATGTGCATTCACTTGATAATTCAAATTTAATCACTTAAAAACAAAACTAAAAGAACGTCATTTGTTAATTTTTCAAAAAAAAACACCTTTCATTTAACCGCCAAAAATTCGGACTGTAACACTCCTTCAAAACCGCCGACAACAATGTCAATAGAAAAATGAAAGCGATAAGTAGTTCACACAACTTTTTTTTCTTCTCTAATTCACCACGTAATGAAGTGATAAGATTTTGTTATTTCGATTTGGTTTAGTACGTCTTTCGTCTTTAAATGTTCCTGTCAAGAAAGAAAAACAAAATTCACAGGTTTGATGTCTACGCCACCACGTTGATTGATGTGGCCAAATAAATTACCTAAATATTATACGACGACACACAATGAAAGTAATACCAACATGCAAATGTGTCTTGGTCAGCGCAATAGTTTGATTGTATGGAATTGGAAAAACAATGGTAATATATAGATATATTTATATATATATTGAGTATGTGTAGGATGATAACTTTTCTGTACAAGTACACAGAAACAATACACACCTGACCTAAAGCAAAAGACTAAACGAGAAAATAGCGGCGAAAAATTTCCAATTTGGGGTGACCGGAAAAAATATAGCCAAATGTAGAATGTGGTGCGCAATTTTTCTCTATTTCTTTTTCTTTCTTCTCCACTTTTTCGCTCTCGTTCAATAGAGTACTTGAGTAACTCTATCTCTATCTGTTGTGTTTCAATTCAAGCGCCGAAATACAAAAAAGGGGAGGAACGTCTTTCCTTGCACTGACACTATCACTTAACACATTTAAATAAGACTAAATTTCATTAAGTTTCACTATTCAAAAATTGTGCGATAATTCACTGGCAATTGCAAGTGCATTCGGCGAGTGAATATTTTCGAATGAATGCAATTCGAAAAAAAAAATGTATAAGGACCGCGCTGGTATTACTATACTAGAGATGGATTTGAATTTTTGATTTGAGTCAATATATCATTAGTTATTTATACAAAGCTGACTATTTTTTTTTTTTTTGGTTTTCCTTTTATTATTCTTTACATTAACAAATATAGTGGAAAGTCAATCGATTCGTATCGAATAAATAAATCGATAAGGAGCCAATAATAACGTTTATTTTTATCATTTGTTCCATTTTTTGAAGGGGGAGGGTTGTGGTGGGATAAACACTCTCAATGAACTAGCAATTTTGAAACTGAATCTCGGTATCAAAAGTCACAAGGTTCTCGATGGTTTTTTATTTCAGTTTAGTTTGTGTGGTGGTGAAGAATTCCGAAACAAAATGTAATACGAAAAGGTATGTGTTAAGGTCGGTCGTATTTTAGCACCCCGGAAATCAAGCATTTTGCATATTCCAAATATTTCATGATAGACGCTAACGGCGATCGAAATCTTTTCCATGCCGCAATTTATTCGTGACATGCATTCACGTCCATATGAAATGATAAACATCGTATTTTTGTTAACCGAAAATAACTCATACGCTACAGACATTTTTTTCCTTGAATATTTGTAGTTTTTTTTTTCGTTTAATGCTTCAATTCAACATTTCGGACCGACTATTTATATTTCGTTCAAATACACCTGGGAATGTGTGCTAATTATATGTATTATTTTTGAAAATCATAAATTGTACAGACCGATATCGCTTAATGAGCAGCGTGAAAATGCGATGTCCATGATAAAAAGACTCAGCAATTACCGATTTGATTTTTATTCATATCTAATCCGCGAACATTATAAATTAAGTTGAAATTGCTTTACCTACAATGACCACTTTGATTAAACCTGAGTGATATTAACATTTGATTTTCATAGCAAGTCCATTATTTTATTTTATTTTTGACATGGATTAATACTGTATATAAACGTTGTTTTCTTTTTCTCTTGTACACATCATTAATCTTTAATCTTTAAATGTAATTATAATATGCTCTGATCAAACCAAATTCATATTGTACCGAAATGATGATTGTTTCGATATATTGAAATTATATAATATTTACGAGGTGAATATAAAAAATCAATTCGTATGTATGTGTTCTTTGCAGAGTGACAAAAAATGTCCACGCTGAATGCTGACGTCGATTACAATATTCGGTTCATTCGTAAATGCTTTTTATAATTAATTAAGCCGATGGAACCATTAGTGATTGATTGCATAATTTAAAGTACATCGAAATATACTTGGATCGATTGAATCCATTTCGTAGCAGTTAAATTTTAAATATTGGATTAATATACCATAATTCGATTGGTCGAAATTCATTGCCACCGTTGTTTATGCACAGTCGAATGAAATTTAAATTGTGGCGCAAACAAATCATACACATTGTCATATATGCACAGCACACACATACACACGGAAAAACTGTCAGTGGCCAACTTCATTGCGATTGGCAATTGGTGATTGATTTACGGTAGTTTATACAAACGAACGCGCTGAAGCGCATCACTGTCGTCTATGTGTATATACTACTTTGCACACATACCACTTCATTCAAAGTCTTTGTTTTTGTTTTTCTCCTACTGATATTTCTTCTTCTTTTTCGTCTTTTATTTCGCTTCTGTTGTGTGTTTTTGTACTTGTTCGCCTAGAGTCGAAAGCCTTTTATTCGATTGCACAGCATTTGGTTGTATAGATTATTTCATTTTTATGTGAGACAAACATAGCGAAAAAGAAACGAACAGAGAAAAAAAATTATTCAAGTATTTTTAAAGAAGAAATTAAAAGATTTTTTTATAATTCCATCGTACTTATTTGTCATCAGCTGAACGGTATGAAATAAAGAATTTTTGCGAAATTAACTTTGTTATTCTTTAAAAAAAAAAGTCTATTAGAGAAGACGAAGAAAATTCTTGTTTTTGTGATTTCATTACATTGCATACGATTCAATTTTTACATATTAGATTCAGTTAGTCTATAATTTTATGCGAACAACATTTTCATTTCCTATTTATTCTCATAAATTTGCAGCTTGTGAAAAAAGAATTGTATTTATCATTGGTTTGTTGAGCAAACTCGTAGTCAATAATTGAGAGAAAAGAAAAAAGTACACGAGTTGAAAAAGACGCTAGGGAATCGAGCGAAAAAAAAATCAATTTCAACGCCAATATTATCCAAAAACAAATAATAAAAGGTTGCAGTGACGCCGACATTATTGAATACCAGATTACAAAGCACGGTAAGCAAGTTTAATTTGGAATTTTCAAGAATTAAAACTTAATTATATATTCGATGATAGTTTTTTTATGCATTAGAGACAGGTAATGGTCTTATTTTCAAGCAATCTATCGATAATGCATAATAAACAGTTAAAAATATCGTTTTGTCTTCAATATTCATAAATATAATCAGTGATTTGTTCGATTTTTCGACACCAAAATGCTCAATTTTGTCCCATAAAACTGTGTTTTTCTTCAAATATAGGCAACGGTTGTTGATTTTTTTTCATCATAGTCGCCTTCATGGTAGTCGTTGTTGTCGCTGCTCTAGTGTTTTATTTTTCACATCAGCAGAGCTATACGTTTATTCCATTATTTTTTTATTATTTGTTTGTATGAACTGTGTGGTGGTTATATAAAAACGAAAAAAAAAACACATTTAATTGTGTGCGAAAATAAGCAGCCTCGTCGAACAGGGACTAATTTTGGTTTTGTTTTTCTTTTTTGTTCTCATTCTTTCTTTTTCTTGTGTATTCGAATTTGGTACAGTCTGTGTCTCTTTTTTTTTTTATTTAAAAGGTGTCTTTGCGTGATGGTGACCTTGTTGATCATTTAGTATTCGACGCATACGCAATACTTAACATATAAATCCATATTTTGAGTAAAATTTTAATTTATTTGTTTACTTGTCCGTTTTAATTGATTTCATATTTTATTTTGCGAATACATTGAACTCTGAAGTATGATAAATTTGCATGCAGTGTTCGTTTCAGTGTCATCGTTTTAATTTAAACACGTTTTCATTTAGATCAAATAACATAGAATTTGTATAAATGAGTGTGTTTGCACAACAACACGAAGTTATCGATGCGCAATAGATTATATTATATTGTCGTTGTAATAAGAAATATATCCGCAATAATTTTCGAGTAACGGCAAATCAAGTCATTTCATGTTTCATTTTTTATACAACGGTTTTTCTTTCTTTTCAATATAAATTCAATGTAGCCAAAGCACATTGGTATGTGAAGCCGTTGCAATGGTCAAACAAAATGTCGTCGATCAATGCATTTATTTAGCGACACTTTATGCGATATTTATAAACCGTCGATGTTTGGAAATTCCATTAAAATGCAATTGAAAATGCACATAAACATTTGTTTAAATATTTATTCATTTTTTTGAATACATTCAGCCAAGCACATTGAAATATGTACACTGAAATCGCAGCTACGAATATCACATTGTATAAATAGGTGTCATCATCTACAAAATGACATTTTTTTTCCACATAAAATTGAAATCATTTCAATTTTAAAATATTACAATGTTTTCTAATTTCTTTTTTGTCTTATGTTTTCTTTTAAAATCTCTTTGCAGAAGAAGAGAAAAAAACATGAAGCTACCGTTTCTATTTGTCACAAGCGGAAGTGGTAACGGTTACCACGATGGATCATTTGATCAGGATGATATCGATGGTGAAAATCAAGACGACTTAGGAAATGAGAACGCCGAGGTCACATTTGAGGAATACTTGTGGATGGAAAATGAAGAGGAATTCGATAAAATTGAATTGTTGCGTCTCGACGAAGAAGCACTAGTGGAAAATTGCTTGAATGATTGTGGTGAAGAAGCCGATGAAACCGATGAAGCGATTGACAATGAGAATGGTCATTGGCTAGCAGCGCAAAATGAGTATGTTGCTGAACTGTATACAGTTAATGTTGAATAATTTGACATGTTTTGATTTATAATTTTAAGTAATTTTGGTTTTTTTATTTCGTTTCTCGCAGAATGGTGATTATGGAGTACAACAATGATGTTGAACTATCAAAAATGGAAATAAATCCACATGACGTTGCGAATTCAAAATTGAATCCATTGGCACAAGAGTTTTTCCCATCATGGCTCGGTAGGCTAAAGTGAAACTAAATCATACCATCGTAACACATACACACACAAAAAAAAAACATTTGCATCACCCTATTAACATTTGATTTGTTCGATTCAATGAGAAAGAGCTCAATTTAAACGATTTGAAATACGTAACGACTATATAAACGTAAAATCCTGTAAACACGAAAACAAAAAAAAAACTTTACTTTTAAACAGAAACGACAACACATGAAAAAATACATCTTAGTTCAAGAAATGAAAACCGTAGAAACAAAACAAAAATAATGAGACAATTTAGAAAGAAAAACAATGAAAATAACAAACATTATTATCGAATCAAACGAATAGAAGAAGAAAAAAATGAGCAAGTTCTAACAATTTATCAAAAATTATAATTCTCGAATTATGCGTCAATCAAATCATTTCATTTTGCTTCGATTTGGAGCATTATACCAAAAAAAGCTGTGTTGAATACACTTTTAATTTTGTAAATTTTTTTCAATTTATGAACGTTTCATATTGATTTATATTATTGTCTGATTATTTAAAAAAAAAAAAAGAATTGTGTACACATGTGTGAAATAGGAAATTCATTCAAAAGAAATGAAAATAATATTGTAATGTCTTGTTATGAACGAAATTTATATGATGAAATAATCACGCATTTAGGGCGTTTGAATTCTATTTAAAATTCGAACAAAACAAAAAAAAATATATAATTCCAACAAATGAACAATTTGCCAACAAAAAATATATTTGTTTTTTAGTTTTCATGATTTCTTTCTCAAGTGAATGTAATTGCATAAAAACAAAAAAAAAAATTATAAAAAAAACATCGAATTTAGCCAAATAAGTGGTAATTAGAAGAGCTAACCAAAAAAAGGAAAAAAAAAACTAGCGAAAAACATTAAAAACTTGCTGTGTCTATTAGAAAAAAAAAAGAATAAGCAAAACACACACACACACGCAACCAAATACATATAGATCAAAAATTCAATAGTTAAAATCAATTTTGAGATTCAGTTTAAATAATGCTTCTTCTGTACTTCGGAGAACATTTTCTGTGCAATCAGTGCCCAGCTAGTAATTCATTTCCAATTACAAGTTCAATTTTTTTTTCTTATAATAGTAACCATGATGTGATATGACATATTATATATAGGTGAATTAAGCCCCGGGTTTGACAATGTCTGCCAATCTACCTTAAAAATAATGTCCGGGAATTTTCATTTTGATTTATTCAATTCGATTGTTTTTTTAAATTAAAATTTCGATTTCATTTTTAAGCACATATTCGAAAAAGCGAATTCGATTTATTATTACAGTGCAACTAAAGATTAATTTTTTCTACGCGATCTTCACACACAAAACAGTTATAAAAACCCTTCCAAAACTTTCATTATTTCTCGTTTTTTTAGAAGCAAGATATTTTAAAATTCACAAATAAATATGTTTAAGTATTTAACATTTAGTGAATAACATTTAGTGCGTGACGATAAACGAATAACTCGATATCGATGCAATCAAATTCAATTTTTGTAAGAGTGTCAACGTTATAGACTTTTGCGTATAGTATTTTTGATCCGAATCAAAAACGACGATACACGAAAAAAGTTCTACAAAGATTTTGAAATTTGTTTCTTGTGAGCGAAAAATGGAACTGATAATGAAAAGAACAATATTTATGCGATATATATTTTTTTTTCGTGGGAAATTTCTTTTTTTTTTATTTAATTTCCTTCGATTGACAAAAAGCAAGCCTATCTTATGTACAAAATTGGTTACTGACTCTCATTTTTTTTAAATTTAGATATTTGCATACTGTGAAATGGTGAAACCAAGTGAATCTGTTGATGAGATTTCTATAAATTTTATTGTATTATTCCCTATTATTGTTGTATCACAATACGAGTTAGGGGCGGGAAAAACATATAAATGCCTGTAATGTTTCAAAAAAATAATAATCATTATTGTAGATTGAAGAGACTCAGATACAAATGAAAATCAGATAGAATAGAACAGCAACAAAAAAAAATCTACATGATATTTGTGATAAAAAATTTACATAAAAAATAAAAAAATAATTAATAGAAAAAAATATTTAATTACAACCTTTTGTGTTTTCATTGTTTATAGACTGTTGTGATAAATTTAATCCTGCTCAGAGAAATTGAACTGAGCAAACTGAGTGGTAAACATTGGAAAATGTCATTTTCACCCTAGTCCAAAACCGTTTCAGTGTAAAATTGTGACAACAACCATTTTTCTTCACAAGGTTTTACTTCAAATGTAGACTGGGATGCATTTTAGAGCCTGTTACGGTACCATAAAACTTCATATAACAAATCGAGATTAATACCGAGTGAACTAATTTGATTTGTAAACATTTTGGTGTTGGATTTTTTTCGAGGCCATATGGAAAAATTATGTTTTTTTATACTTCCACACTTTGAATTCAATAATTCGTTGACTGTCACAAACAACAACGCATCCAAATCAAACGTACAAGTTATAAGTCCGGGCGGCCAAATCCACTGTGAAACGTACTACATTCACAACTCTAGCCTATTATAAACAATTTTATTGTTGTTGTATACAAGTGACACTGTAATTATTCTGTTGCTGAGCGCATTTTTTTTTTTTCAATTTTTCTTACAACTATCGTGTCATTATCACTCGGAAGAATTGACTAAAGACAACGAAAGCCACAAGTTGGTAATAAAACGACTTGTAACACAGTTAAGTAAATGGTCTGACATTTTTTCAGCCAACTAGTAAGTGGTGCATCTATAGATCTATAGTGGTGCAACTATAATGTATTAATGTAATGTATTAATGTATACTATACACCAGCATCCAGTATAAATACAAACCCTCGCTGCTGTCTACGCCGAATATCACTTTATGTTAAGCAAGCGTTCAGGATTGCATACATTTATGCGATACATTGAATGATGCATGCATCATTTCATGCGCATCAAATAACGCTAACGCTGTCGTTGTACGTGCGGATCTAGTAGCACACGACGGTCTTGCTTTATTGAACATTCACATCATTACGTGTATCATATAAGCACGTCGTGCGCTGTCAGGTCCGTACTCATAGCGACATCGTTAGCGTTGTGTTTGCGTTATTTGATTCGCATCAAACGATGCATGCATCATTCAATGTATCGCATAAATGTATGCGATCCTGAACGCTTGATGTTAAGTGTATGCCAGTTGCAAATACAAAAAAAAATGGTTGGCTTAAAAAATAAGAGCAAGTATCGTTTACATTTGGTAAAATTCAAAAAATCTACAAATAATTCAAACAAAATTAAACGATTTATATCATTCAAAATCAAATCTAAATTGATTTAATTGTTTTTATTTCGATTTCTTCCCTTAAGCTTCTGTTTGTTTTCTTTTTTACATATTCTTTCATTTTATCTCGTTTCTCTGTTTATTGTTACTGTTCTTGGTGTAAAGTGTAGTGTATCATATTTCTGACATACAATCAAAGTCTAATTGTGATCAGTTTTCAGATCATCACCAATGATACCGTGTAAAAAATTGTCCAATTGAATTCGAGTTGTTGGATCTATGGTCGGATCGCCACTATTCGACTTAAATGCATTTAATTCGGGATAAAGGTCGTCGTCGAGACGCGGAGTGTTACTGAGAGATGATCCAGCTAATTCGCCAAAATATGGTGAGGAATTATTTGATGCAGGCTGTTTTTTAGCTACCACAATGCCTTTCACATCAAGATTTACTTTTGGTTTATTTTTCGGAGGTTCGTAATAGTAGTTAAAACGTTTGAACGATTCAATTTCCCGCTCATCAGTCTCAAGTTCGCTGAGATTTACCGCCGAGTTTGGAACAAAAACATTTTCTGAAACAAAGAAATCAGCCCGTTTTAGTTGAAATCCATCCACCGAAAAAACTAAATGTACACCTACCTCCAAACTCAGAATTTGCACTATTGTTCAAATCATCATTGACAGCTGCAGCCGCAGCAGCAGCAGCAACAACAATAGAAGAAGAGGTCGGCCGCTGACTGCCAACAGCCAGATTTGGATTTGTGAAACCACCATCGGGACCATTGATCCGTGTTATTTCAACACCGTCTCTTAAATTAAGTGATGCTGGTTTTCGATTGAATTTCGGGTCATTGATATTATGTATTGTCACCTTAAAAATAAATGTTACACATTGTAATATTTTGAAATTGAAAAAAAAAAACTCTTCTTAACGAAATGTGAATTTACCTCACTGTTCAATCGTTGTCCAGGATGTAAGCCATGTAAAAACGATGAATCATCATCGAACTTTTTGAAAAATGAGCTATCGTCGGTTTTTGTTCTGTACGGATCATGCGTTGGCGGAGTATCATCACAGCAATGTGCGTTCGATAATGAACTTTGTGTTCGACTACCAAATAAACTGGTTGTATTGTCGGTTTGTGTTTGATTGCCATACGGAAATCCACCATTGACATGTTGATAATATTGATTTTGTTGTTGAATCGCGGGATTGTTTTGTCCAATGAAATCACTATTAAAACCATAATTGGTGTTCACATCAAACGATGAGTATGGCCGTTTTTGGTCCATATGCATGCTATTGTACATGTCACCACCATTCATGCTTGCATATGATTGTTGTTGTTTTCGTAGGCTTCGTTCGCTACCGATTGCTGTGGCCGATGCTTTTGGTGAGCTGCTCGATTGTAAAACCTCTTGACCAATTACTGAACTAGCTGATGTTGGATTTGTGGAATTATTTGGATTGGTAACCGCATTGCTGGCCGTGTTGCCCGAAAAATACGAGTAATTGTCGACATTCATTTCTTGTGGTTGATAAATCGGATCATTCGGATACAAACGATAATTTGGTGCAGCACCATTGGATAGGGCCTGTTGTAAGGCCATATTTCGAATGGTAAACATGCCATTGTCGTTCTTGGTTATGGATGCCGGTTGATTGATACCCATTGCCATTTGATTTCGTTGTTGCACTGGTGCCGGTGGTTGTGTTCGACTTGGATCGCCTGGTGTGAATAATGGATTTCGCAGTGTAACAAGATTCGTTTGTTCGTCGACACTCTCTTCTTCTGCTTTGTTCTTGTTTTTCTTTCGATTTTTGCGATTTTTCTTCGAATTCGGAGTTTGCACTGCGTTTTGATCGGTCGTTGATGAGGACGACGCAAGATTCTGCATTGGATCAACCATTATTAAACCATTGGGCTGCATTGACATGCCACTTATGAATTGCGGCGGTCGCTGATATTCCAACGGTTGTTGATATTGTTGAGGAACTGGTTGAGATATCTGTAAATTTGAATTTGATTTGAATTGGATGTTACCAATAATTAAACGGTTAACTGATTTATCGGTGTTTTTTTTATGGTCAGATTACTTACGCGAGAGATCGCTTCTTTTTTGGCACGCATGCCCTCTGCCGATTGTGGGTCGACTCGTGTCAATGTTATGCCTGGTGGAAGCATAAGACCTTCAACCTTTACTCCACGATTCAATTGATCCATGATGCTTACATTTGATGCACTCTAAATCATAAGATTCCCGAAAATTATTAACATCGACTTCATTCAATTTGTGTTTGAATTTTTGCACTTACCGTATTTGGTGATTGATTTTTCGTCGCATCACTTGCATCAGAATCTAAGCGCATTCTTTGCATTGATGAACTCATCGAATGGAAATCAGCATCCTTATTTTGGTTATAGGGGAAAAACGAATATATTAAATGTCAGAAATAAATCGATCCTATCATTTTATTTGTTATTCAAATCAGGTGTATATCCGTCAAACGATCAAACCACTACAATAGTGATTGAAAATGGATATTCTTAAAACTTACCGCTCTTGACGATGATCGTGCTGTGTTCGGCTGTTGTTGTACTTGTGCCGTATTCTGTTGTTTCTTCTCCAATTTCTTCTCCAATTTCTTCTTTTGTTTCTTCGACAAATTAGAATCGTCAACGTTGCTTTGTTTGTTCGTTGGCACATTTGTGTGTTGTGCTTGATTGTTACTGAGTTTCTGTGATTTAGCTGATGGTGCTGTGTTACTCTCAGTTGATGGTTTTTTATCCGCTTTTTGTGGCTGTGCCTTTGCATTTGAATCGTTTTTACCCTTTTTCCCTGTATCAATCGCCTTAGCATTCTTATTTGCTTGCTGATTTTTATTGTTTTTGTTGGTTTGTGTTGGTTGTGTTGGTTGTACGGGTTGTGCGGGTTGCGATTCAACTGACGATTGATGTGACAGCGTTGGCGTTTGCAACTTTGTAACATTAACCGTTGGTTTTGGTACAGGCACCGGTTCATTCTCAATTGATTCGTCCGATGACGATTCAATGTAATAATCATCATCTTCGTCCATGTCCAACAAATCGAATTGATTCACTTTATAATTTGGATCGGCATATTCAAATTTAATTGCTTTCACTTTTTTCTTTTCTTTTTTCGGTTTCTCTTCGTTGATGGTCAGTTCCTTGGTGGAATTGGTGATGCTATCTACTTCAGTGTCAATATCCTTTTTGCCTTTCTTTTGCTTCTTGTCTTTGTCTTTTGTTGAGGCGGCAGTGTTTGTATTCGTAGTGGTTTTTGTTGATTTCGATGTTGACGGTTTGGTATTTTCCGGCGATGTTTTGCGACCACTCGTTTTATCGTTGGCTTTTGTTGTATTTTTCTCACCTAATTGTTTTTCTTTTGCATTTTTCTTTGTATTTTTATCAGGCATTGTGGGTTCAATAGGTTTTTTACTTGATTTAGCTTCTACTTTAGGTTCGGCTTTTACATTTTGCTTCGATTTTGTTACCTTATCACTTGTACCGGAACTAACCGAAGCAGTTTGTTGCTGTGATTGTGCTTGTGATGCAACACTAGTGCTTGGAATCAGTTGGCCATTGATGAATGTGTAGAGCAGCTTATCTTTGTCTGGTGATATACCTTTTGCCGTGACTGTGACTTGTGGTTCAGCATGCGGTACATTAATTCGTCGAATGGTTACCATTCGTTTCGACTGATCAAGCGTATATTCGCATGTCTCTTGACGTTGATCATTCTGAATTAACCGAACGTTGTTGCTCTTTTCTTGCTGGGCCTTCACTTGGTCACCTTAAAGTGGAAAACGATAAAAGAAAAATGTAAAATATTGAATTCAAATTCAACACGAAATTCAAATTCAAGCGAAGCGAATTCATCATGACACATACCTATCACCTCGGCAATGACCGGTTGATTGCCTTGTGTAGTTTGCTGCTGTTTATCTTGCTGTTGTTTCTCCAGCTGTTGTTCCTTGGTCGGTAAATAAGCGAATTTAAAATCGGCATTGTTTGCCTTCAGCACGCCAATCAATTCCAGAATGTTTGATTCGATTTTGGCTTTGTATTTGCCATATTTTTTAATACTTGTGTCGAGTTCAGAAATTTTCTTTTTATCACGTTTTTTCATACTACGAAGACTTTTCAGATCGTTTTTAACATCTAATTCCTTGAAAAAGGCATCATGGAATTGGTCACGAAGTTGCTCTAGCTCTTCAATACGTTTAACATCCTCCTTCTTTTGTTTTTGTTTTGCCTTTTTGGCGGCCTTTTTCTGTGAGTCTTTTTTATTGGTTGTGTTGCCTTCGATAAAATCAAGTATATCATCGAGCGATGCAAAATCGTTGGCAGGCTGTTGTGTTGGCTTAGTTTTACGCGTCAAACTTGAATCTGCGTCAGAATTCGATGCAGTCGTTTCAGATCGATGCTTATTCTTTTCATCACAGGATTCAGTGTCACAACAGTCACCCGTATGTTCGACCTTACCACCGGAATTCGACAATATTATTTTACGTTTTTTTGCCGTTTTCGGATCGATCACATTGATTGTACTCGTGTTGGCAGTGGCTGTATTACTATTGCTCGACGATGGCTTTGAAGACGCCATTTTTGCATTATTGGCAGTGATCACTTTTCCCAAATCATCGCGTAATGCAGCTTCGAGAATTTCATTTGTGCTATTCTCTTTTTGTTCAACTACTGGCTTCAATAATGATGTTGATGCGGTTGCTGCCATGGATGACGGTAAAATGTGACACTGTGATCCACTTGCGCCGGCACTGCTATTAGTCGCTGTCACTTTTGACGCTAGCATTTTTTTCAAAGCACCAGGTGGATTCTTTATGGTTTTTGTTGTGATCGTTTTTGTTGAGCTCTTACTGTGGATTTGATGTAATCGCTTTCGCAAACGATCTCGTGTCTCATTTGTTCTACCATGGTTGCACTCCTGAAACAAACAAATAAAATGTTAAAAAATGTTCTCCGTCAATATCATTTGTAAGTCGTAAATTCAATGAAAACACATTGCAAATGAAATGTTTGTTATTATAATTCTTGATCGGGATTTCATATGAACAATTATGCTTTAAAAGTTCACTTTTAAAATGTTGCATCATTTTTATTTGTTCAAACTCTTTTTTTTTTGTTTATTTGAACAAATACTGGATGCAAAAAAATGAAAATACATTGAATTCTTACACAACAACAATGGCAAACCATTTTTTGGAATTATTTTAAATTTAATTTTAAACATGTGTACTATGAAATGTGTGTGCACAACCACTTTGCGCTTGACGACTGTCAATTGTCAATCGTGTATACAAGATTGCCTGTACGTATGTGTGTATGTGCGTATGTGTCTGTGTGCGTGTGTGTGTTTGTGTGTTTTTCTCTGTATTCAATAAACATTGTATATTTTATCTCTGAAATTGTTTATATTTATCAGCGTATACAAATCAAACGACACAAACACAAACCAAACAACCAAATTTTTAAGAAAAATATCGTTCAACATAGAACGAAACAAACGTTTTCATTTGTTCTTGCTTGGGAAAATATTTTCTCTCAACTTACCGTATGACCAAAAATTGTGCAGTAGTAGCAGGTGCACTGGCCATCACCACGATGACACATTTTGGGGTGGTTTTGTTGATTATCCAATAAATCCGAGTGTTCTGAACAACCTACAAAAGATAAAAACAACAGTAATATTCAATCTTATAGTGTTTGAAACCAAGTAAGCAATCATGAAAAAACGGTATTTTTCAAATACTTACAGTGATGTGCGCCATTGTTTGAGCTGTTTCCTTTCTCTTTTTTTGCTAACGATTGACTGTCATCATTTTCTTTGATTTGCTCAAGATCCCGAACCATGTCCTTAAGTACACTATAAACATTACCAAAGAGACGAACAAAGAGATTGATAGATGAAAAATTACGGTTTTTTCGTCAAACGACGCTCAATCAATGACATTTGCATTTTCTTTGCAAAATTCATATTTTTTCAATCTACCTGTGTTCTTTCTTCAGGCTCTTCAGCTCTGCTTCTAATTTTCTGTAAATTTTCGAAGGAAACAATTAACATTATTAATATATTTGTTTCTAAAAAAATGAATTGAAAAATGATGTTGTATGTATCGAATGACGGTTGATTTTTAACTTGATGCTACAAAAAAACAGTGTTTGACACCGCACACAATAAAGTGTCAACAAAAACATTTGATTTTTGTTTCGTGTTAAAATAGATTTTCTTTCGCACAAACGACAAAAACTCAACGAATTCATATGTTTTTTTTATGTACACTGTAATTATTGGCATCGTTGCGATCGATATAAAATTTGGTGACAAGCGATATAAAATAGAGAAATCTGGAGGGAACGGTTTATTCGTTAGCTTGCGCTGGACTAATCGCTTTCAATAAACCGGCACACTTTTGTGGTTATGATATCTATTATGCATTTTGGTGTTGATTAGTTTGTTGTTGTGTTGAACGCGGTTGAACGAAAGTGGATTGTGTGTGTATGTATGTTATATGTTGAGATGCGAAAGATGTCAACTGTACTTACTGATTAAGTTGTTGTTTGACGCGAATTTTGACAGCATCGTTTACACCAAATGTTGAATCGTCTTCTTTATCACAAATATCATGTTTTTTGCATTTTGTTTCACGGAACGGTGTTGGTGATGATGCATTACCACTGGCTTTCGATGAATTGATTGATATTGTTTTCTTTGTTTTTATTATATTGACTGTCGAATTATGTGAACACTCTTTCGTTAGATTGTCATCACATTTTTTCTCATTTTTCGATTCATGTTTTACAACATCGAGTAGGGCTTTTAATTTTTCATACGATTCGGGTCGGATACGGGCAAATTCAAGTTCATCGGTATCAATATCGTTGTTTTTTTCTAATTTTCCACTCTTAACTTCCAGCAATTTGGTTGTTGTCAGCAGTTTTGTTGTGGCAGCAGAAAATTTACCAACATCACTCATACTGTTAATTTGGTCCATTTGCATGCGTAATTGAAATTCCAGCACTTTGGGATCATTTTCGATTTTCTTAAGCGGCGAATTATCACTTTCTTTAAACATATAGATACATTCAAGCCAATAGGTATTCAATTCAATGTCACCATTGTCATTGTCAAGAATGAAACACGAATCGAGCAACTCCTGTACAGGTATTGGCATATCAATCAAATAGCATTCAGCAAACGCCGAACCAATGTCACAGAATAGTGTATACTCAGCATCATCGATATTCCATAATAGATCCATTTGCTGTAGCATATCCACTTTTTGTGATTTATCGTCGCTGATTTTTTGCATTAAATATGAAAAATACAATTTTTGAATGTTCATTAGCTCTTTGCGTTCCTCTTCTTTTAGTGGCTGATAGGCTTTTATCAAAAACTTCGAAAAGTTAAGCGGATAAAGGCCGGCGATGATATGTGTTGCAACACGACATTCGTTTCTCATGCATGGCGGATCTTGAAATGAACAAAAATGTCGCGCATTGAAATTCGTTACATTGTAAACCTTTCGCACTGTGGAGAGAAAAAGAGAGGAGAACATGAAGACCGGAATAAAGTATGTTTTAGTATTAATTTTTGGATGAGATGATTGTTGCTATTGAAATGAAATGAAATAAACTATTGCTTCTTTGTTTTGTTTAGATGTTTGTAAATATGTTTTGGGAACAAAAGCAACCAAATGTGAATGCAAAATGGTAATGAAATCCAAACTTAAAATCCTAGATTAATGTATTTTATTAATTACATGGCATATGTTTGAAGACAGCCCACGACAGATGATAACAGTGATTTTCTAGCATTGTTAACGTTATCTCATCATCTAGATCATCATCTGTGTTTGGCAGTGATTTATCCGATGTCCCTCTTAGCCGTTTGTTTATGTCTTTTTTTATGTAATCCATATAGTCGAGTTTATCATAAAATGAACACTTCGTACAGTGGAATTTTTCAAGCACCTCTTTTCCTTGATTGCTACAAGGCCCACCAGCAAATAAGCAAGTCACACAATCACAATCGCTGCATAAAATAAATAACCATGAAATGTGAATATTATAATGATGAACAAATAAAACAAACAAAAAATTGAAAACCAATAAAATAATCGATTATTATACGTACGTATAGTGACTTCCCAATTCCGAATCACATGTAATGCATTGTTCATTTCGAACACTTGCATATAAACGAGAGTCGTCCTTTTCCTGCCAAACACGCTTCAGATAGTCGACGGTTAAAACCCAGGCTTCATCACGATTTTCCATTTTGATCCATTGCATTTTTTCGGAATTTTCCCGTTTTAAGAGTTTTTCATAAGGCGAAAAATCAAATTCACAGTCACGAATCGCTTTCAATAAATCTTGAATACAACTTATTCGCTTTCTTCGTTCCGTATCTTCCAATTCCATATGAAATTCCTGTAGCAATGACCATACTTGTGACCAATTTTTCGTTGTCGATGTCATATCTTCATCGAAACGAATCAGTCTGTGTGCCATTGTACTGTACTCTTCCGGTTCAAGCAAATCCTTTAGTTTTATTATGCATTCCGGTATTAGGTCTTGAATTTCCATATAAACATATCGTTGATACATGCGCTTATTTAGTATTGTCCATGTCAATGAAAAACCCTTCAAATGATCACGTTGCAATTCAATCAATAGTGACGATAATTTCTTGGCCGTATTGCAAAACTTATCATAACCATCTAAGATGACTAAAAACAAAACGGATATTAGAAAGTCGATCATTGTTACGATCAGAAATGTTAATGTAGCACAAAAATCAAAAGTGAAAAGTATGAACATACATATCAGTAATTCAACCGGATTATAGGTTGGAGTTTCATCCTCCCCATTGGTTGTTAGCATTTTTTTCAATCCATCACTGTACGCAATCGAAATGCATCGCAATTGAATACACAATAATTGAAATAATTGATGAGGATCACGTGTGTACAACCTGTTCGCACGAATAAACATAGATATGGTAAATATGGTCATAAAGTGTTGCATTTAACATTCAAATAAGAATAAATTGTGTGTTTGTGATGCGACCAAACTCACATTGTAAACACCAGAATAAATGTCATTTCATTTGTAAGCGGCAACTGTGAGCTTAATGACAACTGTATATTTTTCTGCTTATCAATGTGGCCATCGGTGAACCATTTTGCTTGCATATTAATTAACTCCTCGTACTTGGCATCCATTGAATTTTCATACGGCACTGGATTTCTATAAATGAAAAAAAAGACACACAAAATTACACCAGTACACAATTGATTCATTCCGTCTCATTTTGATTTTTCGTTGAATCATTTCGCGGGATTTTGTTTTGTATTCATTGCTTTACTTACTGTGGAATAACATCATAAAATTCTCGAATAAGAGCCTTCAAACGATCCCACAGCGTGTTGTATTCATGGTCTTCGAGTACTAATTGAATCAAAACTTCACGATACTGCAGACATTCGGTACATTTACAATAAACACGAAATATGTCCGTATCAAAACAGAATCTTTCGTCATCATCCTGTCACCGTGTTATAATCATATCACACACATATGAAACACATGAAGAAATGAGAGAGAGAGAGAAAGAGAGAGAGGGAGAGCAAAACACAAAGAAATAAAGAAATGAAATAACATAATATCAGAAAATATAAGTCATGCACAAGAGAGCAATGATAATAATAGTGAGAAGAATAAAAAAAACACAAATCGTTGACAGACACCAATGCAATATATTGAAGCACATTCACAAAGAAGAGCACATTCGAACTAAATTAAAACGCGATTTTTGTGTGATAGATATTGATATACAAATAGTAGTAGTCACGGGCTTGAAATTGCGATCGGATTCAAAATTCAGCCGACAAAATGAAAATACAAAAAAAAAACTATACAAATAAATCGGTTTTTTAAATTGTGTATAGGTGATGCGCGATGTGCATGTTTAAGATATACAACAAATTTAATTGCATTGATTCACCATATCGCCTGGTATTTTGTATACAATACACAAAATATCACATATATACGGTTTTTTTTCTTCTTCTTTATTTAGTGCACAATTTTAGTGTGTCTAACCTTAGGCACGATCCCATCGAACGATTTAACTGATTCATTGACAGCGGCTGCTTCGTTCATTTCAGTTGTTTCGATATGATTATTTGTGCATGCATCTATTGTCGAATGGCTATCGTTGTGAATCTTTTCATCCGATCCAAAATATTTCAAAGCCACTTTGAGACGTCGAGGTGAATCTTGCTCTGAAATGCTTTCCTTTTTGTCAATATAGCTTGACGAATACGGGTTTTTCTCAATAAATGACATAGTGCCTCAATTATGCGTAATCAACGATCCAATTATGATTAGCTACTAATTGATTATCGCATAAACAAATCGGAATAAGCACTAAATCGGCGTAAGAAAAAAACTTTTATTTTAATAAAAAAAAACACAATATGATTTTTCTCTGTTGTAGCACTCTTATGAATGGCTCATAAATATGGCGAACACACAGCAATATTGAGTGAACTGTCAAAATGACGCTAGTTGTGGTGGTGAGTGTATATTGTGTGTTCACGTGAATTCTTTGAGTTCGATGGCGTTTTGCGCAAATGGAGGGAAACACACTCTGTGTCGCTATTCACCAACTTCGAACGATGAAGAAAAAAAGCCGAAATATTTGAAACAAACAAACAAAATAGGAAAAACACACATACATTCATACACAACAGTGTCACACACATAATATAGACTAGACACGATGCCGAACATCCGAAATGAATGGAATAATGAAACAAATAATGTTTTTCTCTTTTTGAAACCATTGAATGTGGATTTTTTTATTAAATCTTTGAATTCAGTTGCAAATGTGATACGATGTGATTGTTCTTTTTTTTTCTTCCACTCGTTTTCACTGTTGCTGTTCAATATTGCGATTGTGTGTATTCTTTTTCAAATGTTTCTCTTTTCTTTTTTTGCGTGAAATTCATAGACAATGTATTAATGTAGCATGCACGATTGAGTTGATTGACATGATTTAGCACTGAAGCTATTTACACCTTTTTATCCTCTGTATTTATTGCGTTTGAAATATTTGAAGCGCCAATGGACGAAAGACAACCACTTATTCATATCAATTTGATTTCTAATGCGAAAATGTAATTGCGTCTCTTTGCAAAAGAAAAAAAATAATCATATTTTTGTTGTTGATCGAACACATACAGATTACATTACACACAGGTTATATCAACAGATACTCATACATAAATACATGCCAAGCTAGAATGCCATTTTTTTTAAATGGGGAAACTGAAAAAAAAAACTGGCCAACATGAAAAAAATTGTGCATATTTTTGAATTTATTATTTGTATGATTTACATTCAAATATTTACATTTAATATAATTACTAATTTTAAACTTAATCAACTAAAATAAATTAGTTTTTTTTTTCTCACTTATATTCGTCTTCATTTTATAGCATTTCAGTTAATCTATTTGCTTTTTGTTTTTATTGTGTCTTTTATTTTCTTCATCTCAAGTCGTTCAAGTAGTCCTGTTTTGTCACCAATAAATCAATAATAATAATAATTGATAATAAGAATATAATAAAATTACAATGTTTTGTCACATTTTTTGCTTGTCTGTTTGTTTGTTCTGGGTGCATATATTATGATTGATGAAACTAACAAATCGAAAACGGTTTTCAACCATTTAAATCGGTATATCTGATTCTTTGTTGTTTTTTTTAGCTACTTAGTGAGTGAAGCGAAACAAAAAAATCCGTGCTATCTGGGCTACATTTAACTACCTGATAAAATTAGCCATTGACACACCACTTTGTTAAAGACTTGTTCCATTACTTTCATGTTAGCATTTTGTTCGTTAGATTTTCCTTCTTCAATCTTCTTTCTCTCTCTCTCGCTCTCTTCCTCTCTCCCTCTTACAGACACATGTATACGAACGCACACTATTAATGTGCGTTTGGCGTGTCGTTCCTTCTGTCGATCTCGGCATGTATACATTTCATCGAAAGCGTTACATTCGTCGTGCCGTTTTCAATCTCATTGATCGCATGATCATTTCCTTCTTATATCCTTGTATTGTCAAATGTTGACCGAATATTTGATAACAATGTTTGATTACGATTAGAATAAATACTGGTTAATGCATATCTGGATTTGATATATTCAAAATATACGAAGATGTGTATGTATGGACATTTTTCAAACTCAGTTGATTTTAATGTTTTTTTTTTCTGTTATGTTTTTAAATGGGCTGATGTGCGCATTCACTGAATATAATCATCACCATCACATCATCATTATCATTTGTCTCATTTCTGCGTTCATTCGTCGGTTCAAATTTACTGTTGAAAAAAACCCTTTTTGCACTCTCGAATTGTGACCGTTTCTTTGTTTACGGTAACATCAGTAATGATCACTTGGTCAGATAAACTGGTTTTGGGCATCCAGAGTCGTGGCGGTGCCGGTCGCGGTGATGTTGGTATTGGTGGCGCTCGTTTAACTATTTTAAAATCTGAATTTGCTATTTTACTACTATTTACAGTCTCTGAATTATTTTCAATTCGATTACTTTGAACGGATGCATCGCCAGCCAATGCATTAATTGACTTAAATGCGCCCAAATGATGATGATTGTGATGATTATGATTGTGATGTGAATCAGTGGGCACCTCATTTTTAATAGATGTTGATGTTGATGGTTTCTCTGGTGGTGTATTTGATTCAGGATGAGAGGCAGGCGTTTCAGGTGATAATGGTGCTGGTTCCGTTTTAATTGGAACAGTTATCGGTGTGGCCGATACATTTGTACATAATAATTTATTTGATGGCGGTCCATCGGGTGATGTTTTTATAGTAACACCAATTTTGCCCGATTCTTTTGACAGCACCTCGACTTTTCGCTTGGTGGTTGTGTTTGGCGTTGTCGATGGTGTCGTTGTTGCATTTGAAAATGTTTTTGTACGTTTCTTACTACCAGCACTCGATTGGCTCAATGGCTGATCATCGCTGCTACTTGAATTCGTATCGACAATGTCATCATTTAGAATTGATGATGTCCGGTGTGATATTTGCGATGTTTTCTTAATATGATGATTTGATCCCGAGTCTGATTTTAATCGAATATCAATTGATGTACTGCCATTGGAATTATATGGTTGTCGGCCTTTTGAATCGACTGAATGTTGTTTACTAGACAGTGAATTCACCTTTATTGTTGGTATTATGGTGCTACTATTATTCGTACTTGATGCAGGCGTTTTACTCTCTTTTTTTGGCTTAAACGAACGTTCTTTCTCCATTGATTGATTCACAATTGAGTGCGATTTATTATATGATGGGCTGTTGTCATACGTACGGCTCGTCGAATTGTCGAGACGATCGCCGATTGTTGTTTCATCATCGTCGTCATCGTCGGTATCGGGTTGTAAAATGCGTTCCCGTTTCTTTGGTCGGTGTTGTTTTTTTGACACTATCAAATCACTTGTTCGTTCAAATATTTGAATTAAACGGGTATCCAAAATATTTTCCTCTGGCTCCCATGTATTATATCGTGGTGTCCATCCCTTCCATTTTACAAGGTACTCCACTTTGCCCTGTTTTTATATGAAACAAATGAAAATGAAACGAATTATAATTATTATATTTATTGATTAAAAATAATGCATTAAATATAGGTTCAATGTAGTTAGTGATCGTTTGGCATTAACTAAAAGTCTACAGTAGGAAATGACAAACATCTACACTGAAAGTAATTTACTGACACAATCGATCAATCAATATTATTACACAAAAAAGTCAATACCATTACGTTTGTCACAGTAACATTGACGATTGATCAAATTACTCTCGAAATGCTTATTATTTTTCTACCGCCTCTTCCAATCAAATATATGATGAATTTATTCGGATGCTGTGACAAATGTATTGGAACTCAACTAAGCACTAAACAAATGAAAATACATGTCATGAACTCGATTTGTTTTGACGGGTTTTAATTTCAGCAATAACATATTTTTCCGTCATAGCAATCGACACAACACTGACACTTTTACATTTTTTTTTTAAAATCAAATTGAAACGAACCACTCTCATTGAACAACAATAAAATGAAAAACAAAATAAAAATTTATTAGCAAAATAGAAGACAGCATTTTGATCTAAAAACATTTTATCAAACAAAGATGGCGACAATGCACCCATAGTACGTGTATGTACGACGATGATGACGATGAAGTTGAATGAATGATATTGAAAACATAAACAAATTGCACCATCAATTTTATTCAATCAATTAGATTATCGCAAGATGTACTCGGATGGTATTTGGTTTACCTTTTTATATCGTTTTCTAATGATTTTTTCCGCCGCATAAACTCCGCCAGATCCATTGTTGTCCATACTGTGTTGTTTTTAATTGGATGCAAACAACAAATCCGAAATGTTTCGATTCAACCGAAACACTATTTTTGTTTTCGTTTGATTTTCCTTCCTTTTCAAATTGTAGAAATATTTACACAAAATGAGTACACTTTATTTCGCACATGAATTTATGTTCGTCTTGATTTTCTCTCTGTATGTTTTTTTTTTCTTCTTTCTTTCGTTTACTATGTGTGTATACTATTGTATATAGTATATTTCATTAAAATACTCTTGTTCTGTTCACTCTTTTGTTCGGTCGCGAAACAAAAAAATAACAGTTGTTATGTACATTTGTTTGGATTATTTTATTTTCATTATAGTCGCTTCGATATTTACATATTGCTTAAATGAAATTTCAAATGTTTTATGCGAACTTTTTCTTTGCATTTGAATTTGAAATGAAATAAAATGTTACAACAAAAATGCTTCGCCTGTAGTCAGCGATTGTACTGCAATTTTCTTACAAATTGTTTTTACGGGCAATTTTTCAGTTTCTAATGTTGTCACATAGCAGTTTTCGCCATTTTGAATTTCGACAATGTTGCCAACGTTACAAATCACATTATTGCGCTATGCATCTGATCGAATTTGACAGCAACGGCAATGGTAGCAGCACACATACTCACATAACATTTAATTTTCGATTTATTTTCATTTTGTAGTAAGACATGTAAATGAATTTGTTTTTTCAACCGAAGAAAAAATTCACACTTTAAATATTTTTTTTATTTTTGGTGGATTATATTGCGAATCATTTTAATTTTGTTAAATAATCAATAAAAAAAATTTATCGTATAACTTCGAAATTCGAATATTGACGTCTGTCAAAGTGCACGTGTGCGACCGTTTGTTGAAACAAAAAAGTCTAGACAATAACATACCGCATTACAAAAAATACATACACGGGGTTCATGCTTATTTGGCACGATGGCTTTAAAAACAAAATCCGTGAATCCAAAAAAAGTGAATTTTAACAGCGACAATTCATCGAGTGATATTGCTGGTAAAAGTAAACACATAATTTTTGACGAAGAAGACAATGAAACGGATGTCATTGTTGAACCGAAACAAGTTCTGGCTGAAAAGAAACATCAAGGATCGAAAAAGAGTGAAAAGAATCGCAAAAATGCATTGGAAATTGGAAAATTATGGTATCAAACGGTAGGTTTTTGATTTGCATTGATTTGATTTGAAATGTTCCATAAATGTTGTCCTTTCAGTTTGCCGAATACAATACGTCCGATGAACTGGTTGAAATGAAAAATAACGAGATTGAAGAGTTGACAAATTACTGTGGAAAATGTTACGAAGAACAGAAAACAGCATTTGCGAAACGTAAGTGGCGTTGCATTGAATGCTTGATGAAAATAAATTTAAGTCGCAATGTGATTTGTAGGCAATCCATCGGATGTAAAATGGCTTCAGACTGCCTTACATAAAGGTACATCAAAAGATCGAGCCAATGCTGGCGGTTTATTAGTTCAGTCAAATCCATTAGCAAATTTGGAAACACTTGAATCGCTCATAAGTTTTACAAAACTCACAAACAAAAATAGCACCGATTCAATAGGTAATTTACCACAATGCGAATAAAATAATGTTAAATTAATATTCTGAAACTTGAATATTTTAAATTTTTCGAACAGACGTAGCAACCGATTTGTTTATTAATGCACTTTTGCCGCCCGATCGAAAATTGTTGTCATTTACATTGAGAGGTGCCGATTGGAAGGCGCTTAAAAAGAATGATAACGTTGACAAAATGACAAAAGATCAAATTTATGCATATTGGCATTTTGAGACTATCATCAAGGATCAGTATTTCGGTGAGTGTCTATTGAATACGAAAAACAAAAAGTAGAAAATGTGAAAATTATAATTTCTTCTCCACAGAATTTTTGCGAAACATTCAAAATGCGATTCAAAGTGGTCAAGAGGCGAACAAAAAACAAGCAATTATTTGTGCATCAAAACTATTGTCGTATGCACCGGAAAAGGAGCAAATGCTATTATCAATGTTAGTAAATAAATTGGGTGATCCATCAAAAATGATTGCATCGAAAGCATTGCATCATTTGACTGAAGTATCATTCAAGCATCCAGCAATGTGTGGCGTTATTGCGAATGAAACTGAAAAATTTCTATTTCGAAACAATATCACCGAGCATGCACAACATTTTGCATTATGTTTTCTATCACAATTGGCACCACATGGCAATGTTGAAGTGTGCACAAAATTGGTGAATGTTTCGTTGTCATTTTTCAAAGTGGTGGTCAACAAAGGTCTTATCAACAGCAAAATAATGCAGGCCATTTTATTATGCTTGAAGCACTCAATAACTGATGTTGTTGAAGCGAATAAATCAAAACCAGGCAGCGACAGTGGTTTAATCAGCAAGGATACACAAGATACAATTTATCGTTTGGTACATTTTGCAAATATCAAAGTGTCACTGCAGACATTGGCATTAATTCTTCAAATGATAACCGCAATGGGTGCCGAACATCAGCATAATCGATTTTATAATGCATTATACAAAAAACTATTGGATCCAGAGTTGGCAACGTGTGGTTCAAAATATTCCGCATTATTTTTACATATTGTGCATCGTGCCATTCACGTTGATCGAAATAAATCGAGAGCACAGGCATTTATCAAGAGATTGCTACAAGTAGCACTATTTTTGCCAGCACCAATTACATGCGGCTGTCTGATTATAATAAGTAAAATAATTAAGGCACGAAGTGAACTCAATCGCATCGAAATTCCATTGGCAGTTGCACCGAAAATCGAAGATGACGTTGGCAATGTTGAGAGCGATGAACATGGTGACACAACTGAACATGAAACAAAAATCAAACCAAATGGCTATGATCCATATCACCGAGCACCCGAATTCGCTGGCGGAGAATATTCCATACGGACCGAATTAGCGGCATTGCTGCATTATTATCATCCAACCGTTCGAGTTTTTGCACAAAACATTCTTGAGGGTATATATATATCTATTTGCTTTTATCCAACTCATTCTATTCTCTTGATAATTCTCTCTTTTCAAATTCAGATAAACCAATTAAATTTTATGGCGATCCATTGGTTGATTTCTCGCTCACACATTTTCTGGACCGTTTTGCATTCAAGAATCCAAAGAAAGATGCCGAAAATAAACCAGTGTCAATTGTTCATGCGTTCCATCATAAAAATTATACACCGCATGGAAGCCGTGGTAAACCGGTGAAGCAATTGAGTTCAGCCAGTTGTACCGAGGATGAGAAATTTATCTTTGAATTTTTGGATAAGAAACGTGCACGACAAGCAGCACTCGGTTTGGATCAAAAAGACCGCTTCGAATCGGTGGACGATGACGAATTTGATGCATATTTAGATGGGCTCGGTGGAAAGAAAGGCAAAGATGGTCTTGACGATGAAGAATTTGATATTCTTGGCGATTTTGGCGAAGCAAAGGGTACGACGGAAGATGATGGTGAAGATTGGGATAGTGATGGCGATGATGATGATGATGATGAAGATGGTGAAGGCAATGCTAAGGCAGATATGGACGATGGGTAATTTTTGTTGAAAAAAAATCCAGACACAAAAACAAAATGTTTAACTCTTTTAAATTTGCAGCGATGAATTTGATGGCAGTGATGCTGGTTCGATTTCCCTTGATGAAGATGACGATGATGATGAAGATGGTTCGGATATCTTTGAAAGTGATGAGGAAGGTGAAGAAGAACTAGACAGTGATGCTGAAGTTTCAGATCCAGAGGATGAACCAAAGGCTAAACGCCCGAGATCAGTTAGCAGCAAAGATTTCCAGAAGAAACTAAAGAATACAAGCAGTAAGAATTATTTGTTCATAGTTTTCAGTTTTGATTTGAATACATTATTAAACAATTCAAACCATTTTCGATAGATATGAATTCGCTATTTGCTGCAGCCGAAGATTTCTCTGAAATGTTGGAGGATACTGGTAAATCGAGTAAACATGGTACGCTTGGTGAAATATTTAATCAAGATAAATCATCGGAGAAGCAAATCGAATGGGAGAGTAAACGTCTTAAAAACAGTCGAGCCAATTTCCGAAGAAAGCCAACACAAAAACGGAATCGTTCACAAGGAAAAAATCGACGAGGCGAAACTAATAAAAATAAAAAGAATCAAATTGGCGGCAAACGTAAACATAAGTAAATTTTCTTTTAATGTTAGCATAACATGTATTCTCAGCTATATAAATTTACTTTACGTATAAGCTGGAGACTCTGTTGTCAACGTTAAAAACACACATTTACAATAAATTCTGTTGATTATTAACTTTGGAAATTCCCGTTTTTTGCAGTTTTTTTCGTATTTCCGTATGTAGTATTAGTATCACTATGTTAATCGTAGAATTTTTTTTCATGAGATTGCACTCTTTCGTTACTTTGGAAATTCCCTCTGTGTGGACAATATTGAGTAAACCCGAGATGTTATCTCTTTTTTCACAAATACTTATTAAATTTGGGAATGATTTCATAATTATTAATTATATAATTGTGGGTTGATTAACGAATATTAAAATTGCACTTTTTGACACACATAAAAATAATAATAAATTCCCACAATAGTTCCAATGAACAGTGGAAATGCATCAAACATTTCAATTTCAAATTCACTACGTTTTGTTGGAAATTTCACGGTTTTGATCAATAGATTTGGCACATGAATTAATAAGAAAAATTAGCATCACATTCAAAGTTAATAGAACAAATCTAAATATAGTACTATTAACTAACATCGCATAATATTTGTATTATAAGTAATTTATCATGACAACAAGTCATTTTATGCGATTAAGTTCATAATCAATCACTTTGTTCCCAGAGCCTGTCAAAAATGTGTGTTTTTCATTCAATTACTTTGTAGATAGATGCTATGAAAACAAACGTAGGTATGAGTAAATATTTAACATGCATATAAATCATAAAAACAATTCACATCGTAAAAATGTAAAAAAATGTGTATTATTCTCATTCAAATTTAAATGGTATTCGAATTTCGAAAACAAAATCAGGAATTTTTATCTATTCTTACAAAAACCTCTGTGGAGGTGAAGAATCAGTGACTAAACCAAAATTTGAAACACACAATTTTGTGACGAAAATATTTGGTAAATATTTTTTTTTATATATTTGTACATTCAAAACGTTGCAGAAATTCCTCTCTTTTCACTGTAAATTCATATTGACGCAATGAAGAAAAAAACTGAATTTTGACTCATTTTTTTTAAAGGGCCATATTTTGGGTGACAAGTGAACCAATTTTTAAACTTCAACATTTTTTCTTAATCTATGGCCTAAGGGATTTTCAGCCATACATCAATCGTAGCAAAATGCTTTTCAGATTGGGATTATCGTCACTCACGCGAACTGCCGTCCACTGTGTTGTCTTTAATGCAAATCAATTGGATAGATGAAGGTAAATTTAACCGATTTGCGGGATAAATCCAATGCGGTAATAAAATATTACACATATTTGTGTGGAAGGTGTACATAATTGTATACATCGACTCTATGAGTTAGCTATGTTGGCTCAAAAGTAAAGAATATAATTATTCTTATTCAGTCACTGGTTATTCCTGTTATTTTTTTCTGTATTTATTTTTCTTTTCCACTGAATAAAATAATAAAAAATAAACATATCAAAGGTCAGAATAGAACAGCAGTAAAAAGGCAGCATTCGTTATGGTTATCAAACGTTTTAAATAGTGTGGCAGATGTGCGAACAATTCATTTGTGTTTAATCAGCTGTTGAAATAACATCGCATAAAATGAGTGCTGTATTTGCATTTAGTATTACGGTGATGATCGTTTTCAGTTCGGTTTATGGCAATCCATACGGTTCACATCACGTTCCAACTGACCAATATCATAATTATCCAAATGCGAATCATCAAAATGCGAATTATCCACGCCAAATCAATGCAAATACATTAAAACCATCAAGCGACTATGAAAATTCACGATTCGAAGAGTTTTATCGATGGAAGCAAATATCATACCGACCACTCGAGAATGGTATGTAACATAAATTGAATGATCATATTTCATTTATTTAAATTTTTCCCCCCTTTAGAGTCGATACTTTTTGGATTAGCGGACAGAAGGCTTAACGATTTAACGGCAAGTGATATTCGTGATAATTACATTCCATATAATAATCTGCCAATGGGGATGATGCATCATCCTCAATCACAACGGATATTCATCACTTTGCCAAGACGTCGAATTGGAATGCCTGCCACGATCACATATGTTAGTTCAAATGGTGCACGAGGAAGCAGTCCCAGTTTACAGGCCTATCCATCGTTTCGGGCCAACGAATTACATGTAAGTAAAAATAATAAATATTTTGTGTTTTTAAGTAAAATCAATCGTACATTTACTATTAAAATTGATTTCAATGTTTTTAACCGAAAATAGTAATTCTTAAAAATAACTACACCAGTAAAGTGAAAATAACATCTTACACTTACACTTATAAAATTTGGTGAATCAATAAACACCGATTGAAGTTTTATATTCTTCTATATTCATGCGCATCCAGTCCATATTATTTATGTCCCGCACATGAACAACGTGATCAGTATGGTTCGTGTTCAATGCATGATCGGCAAATGCTGATTTATTTGGTTGTGTTCACCAAATCGTTTCTCAATGGCCTTTTTCGTCTTATCGTAGTAAACGCTATTGCATTTTTTACGTTTAATTGAATAAATACCAGATTTTTAAATTGATTCGTCTTTGTCTTTACATGAGCCAATCAACATCAACTTTAGTACTTTTGTATACACAATGCATATCGAATTTTTTGAATGTTTTTTTTTTAAATTGAATTTTAGCCGCAAAATCAACCAGATAGAAATCGCATTGTTTCGGTCTATCGCTCACGAATTGATTCATGTAACCGACTTTGGTTCGTTGACACTGGATCTTTGGAATATCCCGGCAATACGATTCAAGTACAACCGCCGTCAATTTGGATCTTCGATCTTACCACTGACCTTATGCTTCGTCGTTTTGAAATACCTACGGCAAATGTGCTTGACGGTCATGGTATCGCCAGTATAACGATCGATATTGACGAAAATAGATGCGATGATGCATTTGCCTACCTACCCGATTTGGTGAATTATCGCTTACACGTTTATAGGTATCTCTACATAAACACGCTCTCCAATTAAATCCATTCAATGACCTATCTGTTGTTTTTTTCATCAGTTTGCGAACCAATCAATTTTGGACCTTTTCACACAATTACTTGCATCAAGATCCATTACGTGGTGACTTTGATGTGGCCGGCGTACAATATCAATGGAACGATGGTATTTTTTCAATTCAATTGAGTGCACGGAATGCAGATGGTTTCAAAACTGCCTATTTTCATGCAATGGCCAGCACCTCTGAATTTGAAGTATCAACGCAAGTGTTGAAAAATCAAACGGCATCAACGCGCTCAAATCATGGAAGCGATTTCAAAGTATGTTATTCTATACAATGCTTAAACATTGATATGATCCGTTTTCTTTTCTAATTCGTATTAAATTCTTTTAGTACGTAGGTCAACGGAGTACAGTCGGTCAATCCGCAATGCGTAAGTATTCGTTGAATGATTAGACTTAAATTATATAATTTTCATAAAGATTTGCACTTTTCGAGTCTGTTGTAAATTACTTTCTTTTATTTTTAGATGCCTATGATAAGAATACCGGTATAATGTTCTTTTCACAAGTGTCTTTAAACGGCATTGGATGTTGGGACACAACAATGCCATTAAATCCAGACAACTTACATTTAATCGCCCAAGACAATACAACAATGATCTATCCTTCTGATATCAATGTACGTGACCAAACGCAAACCCATTTAAAATTCAATAGATTTATGATTAACATATTTGAAAAAATATTTTATTTTTATCAATTTCATTGTGAAGATCGATTCGGAAGGTGTTATTTGGGTGATGACCAACAATTTACCACTTTATAACTACGCTACAATTGATCCAAATGAGTTTAACTATAGAATATGGAGAGCACCTGTTCAACGTGCTATACGCGGAACACCCTGTGAGATTCCAATGTATACAGGTTTCCATCCATAATCGCAGCCAGACTTCCACTTGAGTCGGAATAAGTCGGGGATTCGCTTTTTGGCGTTTTAAATACTTCAAGCGTTTTGTTATTATTATCATATGCATAGTCACATACACATTTTTCAATACAAAATAAAACATTTTTTAAATGACTTTCCATTAAATGTGGTGATAACTGCTGTTGTTTACATTAATATTCATGAGATTGATTACAACAGACATATTCACATTCAATAGTCAATATCGATTCGTTGCCGACAATTATTTGCGATGATTCTTTGTGGTGATTGTGTCAACAATAATGTAGTCAAGTATTTATCAATATAGACAACTTCAATATATACAATATAATACGTATATACACAGATAGGTATCTCGTTCTACGTTATTTTCTCGCTTTTTATTTCCCTCTCCCTTTCTGATTATTTGAATACAATAAAGTACCAATAAGAATGATTTGATGACTTGACGCGACGCAACCATATCATCAGTTGTATTGATGTTTTGCTAAAGTTGGTTTTGTTTGTATCATATTTTCATCATTTTTAACATTAAAAGTAAGTTTTGTGCGTAAACTGTTTGAAGAACGCATCAATTTTTGCAGCTCATCATCACAACGCCGTTTATACATTGCGGTCATTGTGACACAAACCACGTTACGCTTATTAATTCGGCCGCTGCGTATGGAAATGCGTCAAGGTTATAAATTCGAACCAAAAATCTTGATTCTTGTCAGTTAATAGATCATACCAGTCAAGATGGGTTCGCAACGATTAACTCTATCTTGGCTAATTGTTATAATCAGCAGCATAATATTTGTTAATTGTGAATTTGAAGAATACTATAAATGGAAGCAAATTCAATTTGCTAACAGAGGTAATTATAGATGAATTTATTACAAATTTTAATGTCAATGCTTATTTGCATTATTAATGGACGTGAAACTACCTTGGCTAACGTCAACTGAGGTAAAGTGGTTTTTTTTAGTTCAAACAGGAAATATTTCATTTGAAGTGTATTTTTACATCGATTGACTTTTCGTCTTTTAAATAATTATAAATATACAAAGTGAAATAATTTGTTTGTTGTTATTTTGTTAAACCGGTTTTGGGTTATTATCTTTTAAAATTCAAATATACAGAGCAAAATCTTGTTAGGTAGATGAATAACAAATTGACTAAAAATAAAATGCTCAACCTACAGAAAAAAACAAATTCGAATAACCTCTTATCAGTCACAATTCAATCTGTGTACAAAAATAAATGACTTTTCCGAGTAAATTGGATGAAAAAATTGATAGCTTTATTGAACCGCTGTTTATTAAATTGAGCTGTAGTAATAAACTGACCGACATTTAAAATGTAGACTGTCACATAACAGACGTTATAGGGCTTATGGAATTTTGTTCACTTTTGATAAAAAGTTTTGGCAATTCCGTAGTATTGAAATTCCAATGTCATTGTCCGAATTTTTTTCTTGAAAATCGAATGCGGGAAACCTACTATATTGATTTTAGTAATTCATAAAAGTTCCACGACCGATTTTCTGAAGAACAACAAAAATGTCAGATGATGACATTGGAATTTCGATATTGCAAAAAAAAAAAACATCTCTAACGTGAAGAAAATTCGACAAGCTTAGGCGTTATATTCTGCTGAACATTCATTTCAAATGAGCCAGCTATTTTGTATATTTAGATAATGCAATTACATTTAGAGATACATAGATGATGACGGAAACTTTTTTAGGAGGGGGTGATGGCAAAATTCCGTATGAGGTCCCTGAATAAACCCATGGGGGGTCCCTGACGATGTCAACAATTTGTAGGAAATGAGGATAAAATCGTTTTTTTTTGCTCATCACTTTTTTGACGAAAATCCCTAGCAAATCGAAAGAATTTTCTCGGCCAAAAAGAGTGAAGAGCAAAAAAAGGTCATCATTTCCAAAATTGTTCAGGTTTCCTAAAAGTATTTTAGAGGGGGGCAATCCGAACCCTAGGAACCCTCGTCATCACCTATGTAAGAGATACGCGATATTTTCAAATTGTAGTTAAATTATAGGCACTGCAAAGTTGTTTCTCCGCAGACTTCGCATGCATAGTTTGAGCTTCTAAAGTGGAAATCCACAAAAATATCAAATTATGGAAAAATATTTTTCTCATGCTAAATGTCAAAAATAACGAATTCATTTTTTCCCGGTTAATTAATTCGTGTGATTTGAATAAAAATAAAATGATGTCTTTTCATTTCAAGTTGATGTTACCAACAGAATTTCTTGGAATATTAAAGCTTGGTTGTCACAAACATCAGAAACAGAAACAGAATCAAAAAATCTGTTTTCAGAAACAGAAACAGAAAATTTTTGGGGTGTACGACAGAGAAAAGAACAGAAAGCCTTTTTCAGATAATTTTTTTTACATTGTTGCATTGTCATTGTGTAGTCTGTGTGCTTTCGAATAAAAAATGCAAAATTCCGATCAAATTGCGACATATAATGCTGCAATTTATTTCTTCGAATCCGATTTCAGAGCATTGGTGGCTCTTCTTTTGTTGATCAAGAAAAAGAGAAAGAGTCCACATAAATTATACCGACAAAGAGCCGAAGAAGGTGCTCTCAACATTTTGATTGACCGACACTTGATGGACGATGAAAAAAGTTCAAATAGTATTTTCGAGTCAGCTCGATTCTTTTTTCCAAATTGTAGGATGTTCTGTTTCTGATCTTTGTGACAACCAGCCTTAATATGACCTTAAACCATTTCAGATAACGATGGCGTCTTATTTCCTGATAACGAATATACATCAAATGTACAACCCAACTACATACCAACCAATGTAATCCCGATTGGAGTATCACATTATAAGAATAAATTATTTTTAACAGCTCCCAGGCGTCGTGTAGGCGTTCCATCAACCCTAAACTTTATTTACACCAAATCTTCAAAAGGATCTAGTCCAAGCTATAGACCCTTCCCGAATGCTGAAATAAACGAATTAGATGTAAATAGCATGCTTATAACATTGTTTTGTCTTTTATGAGAAGGATTAAAATAAAAAATCAACTTATTGTCGTTTCAGCCAAACCTACAACCGAATCCAAATAAAATTATTTCAGTCTATAGAACTCGGGTAAATTCCTTCACTTGAAAATTGCTTTCCTATTATTTAATAATTGTTATTGATTCTTTTTCGATTATTTGTCGATTATTTTAAATTAATTCTTTTTCTTTGTGATTCTCCCCTTAGGTAGATGACTGCAATCGACTGTGGTGGATTGATACGGGTAACTTAATTGTTGAATTATAAAAAGATCGATTAAATTGATTTTAATTTGAATTTCGAACAGGTATTCTGGAATATCCAAGTGAGTTTGAAATAAATTATTTCTTTCTTTTTTACATGGATTGCGATAAATGGAGAGAGTTTCTTTTTAAATCTGTTTTTCAAATCTTTCCATGACATAGATAATGCAACTCAAGTGCAGCGACCTTCTATCTGGGTTTACGATTTGGAGAATGAAAAAGTTCTTCATCGCTTTGAAATTGCACAAAGTGTTGTAGAACGGGGAAATGGTTTGGCTAGCATAACAGTTGATGCTGACCCAAATAATTGTCAAAACACTTATGCATACATACCAGATTTGGCAACGTATCGTTTATATGTATACAGGTAGTTGTGTTAATCAAATCCATTGACGTAAAAATAAAAGTTGTACTTAATAATGATAATAACCGTTCCAGCTTGAGTCAAAACCGCATTTGGACTTTCCAGCACAATTATTTCCATTTTGATCCAGTTCATGGCGATTTTAACATTGATGGAATTCCCTTTCAATGGGACGATGGAATTTTCTCAATAACACTTGGAAAACGAAATGCCGATGGCTATCGAACAGCTTACTTTCATGCAATGGCAAGGTATTTAACGAATCTCTCCTTCTTTCATGCTCTTTTATTTGATATTGAGAATGTTTACAATTATAAATCTATTTTAAAGTGTAACAGAATTTTCGGTATCAACGAAAGTGCTGCAAAATGAACAAAATGCAGGCAGATCAAATCATGGAACTGATTTCGAAGTAAATAAATTTCGTTTGGCTAACTACAAATTCAATCATTGAATTGGAGATTTAAAATTTTATTTTAATATTTTTCAGATCGTTGGACAAAGAGCACCATTTACTCAGTCAAATATGCATGATTTTGACAAAGAAACGGGCGTCATTTTTTACACGCAAATTTGGCCAAGTGGCGTAGGCTGTTGGAATACAAAAAAATCCCATGTACAAAACAATTTCAAACTACTCGCTCATAACAACCGGACAATGATCTACCCAAGTGATATAAGTGTGAGTAGAATCAATTAATCTTTTCGTAAAGAGTACACTGAAAGCGAGTTTATTTGATGTAGGTCGATCAAGAAGGGAATGTATGGATGTTTACAAATACAATGACGAGATGGATCTACTCTCAGATGAATTGGAATGAGTACAATTTTCGAGTTTGGAAAGGAAATGCACGCGAACTGGTAAAAGGAACGCAGTGCGAACGTGATCACCGAGGTTAAAGTGATTACCTTGGATCGCCAACTTGGGGGGCCGGATCGCATATAGAATTTATACTTTGTATAAACGCAGACGCAACATATCCGTCACTGTTCGCTTTGTGCTGCGCTCAATAAATACAATGTATGTGCGAGCGTCTCTCAATACACGGTCACATGCTTCATACATAGTGAACAGCGATGGATATGTTGCGTCTCCGTTTATACTTTGTATATTTATACTGCCTGCGTTTTTTATGCCAGTATAAAATTAAATTATACGCGACCCGGTCCCTGGCCAACTTCAGAAGATACAATACAATTTTGATCAACTAAACTACTTCTTGTTAGTGATATTTGCGAGTCAGTTTTTTTATTTCTATTTTTTACAATTTTTTTTCGTTTTTCATCAAAAATTTCGAATTTAATATTGTCAATAAATTAAATAAATGGAGCAATCAAATAGTAAACTTACATGCAAATGGAAAAAATAATATGAAAAAGAAAAATAATAATAAAAACAAAAATAATTTTTATACGAATGTTGACAAAAAAACAAAATCTAAAATCACAAAATTTGCTATCTTTCACGATATTTCATCTCTCTCTCACTCACTCACTCACTTCTATTCTCATATTTTCAATCACGTTGCATTTGTTTAAATTTCATTTAAAATTTGACCTACCTAGAAAACGAGAAATCATGTTTATCAGAGGGATAAAAAGGTATGGACGCTAACGATTTTGTGACTATGATGACTTATAATGTATCGAATCTAAAATTGTATGCATTACTGTGTATATATTCTCCAAAAGTAATCAATACTGTTATTACAATTAATACAATTGATTCAGCGTTCACAAAATGTCTAAAAATATTTCGAAAACCAATGGTCAAAGGTTGGATAAATTGCATCTATAAAAATATCGTTTTTTTTTGTGTGTGTTTCACATGCATATAAAATCCACTCAAAAAATGTATCACCCATATGAATGAGTACTACAATGTAATCAATCCTAGAACGGCAGTGCCTTTTAAAAAAATTTGTCTTTTTTCTTTGAAATAGACGAGTTTATATGTTTTTTTTTGTTAAAATGAGTCCATTACTTTTTGAAATGAATGATTAGCATTTGAAAAAGTGTATAATTGGAATGCTATAAATTACAAGCTACTGGTTCGGTTTGCTCATTAATTTATGGATACAGTATGGGGTGTAACATTTCTATTAGCAAAAATTCATTTCTAAATTTTTTATCGCGACGTTATTTTTCAAAAAAAAAGATTCATATGTTACATACACCCTCAATACAGAGTTATACAGAAAACAGAACAAAAAGTAAATTTGAAGATAATATAAAGGGTAAAAAAATAATAATGTAAAGAGAAAGTAGTTATAGTTATAGCTATTGCACAATATAATCTTTATGGTTTCGCAGAGATTTGAGTTGTTTTTTCAGTTTCGATACGAGGTCGGACGGTTGAACCAATATTGATATATCGCGACCAACGGCATTTAACCGATCTCTGACTTCATTATCCTTGAAAAATAGATTGAGCGGTCGTCCATTGATTTCCGTTAAAACCCAGAATGTAAGCGATAGTCCATCACAAGATTGAGCCTATTTTAAAATCGAATTAGTTTGTGTTATCATTCTTGAATGTGTTTCAAATTTTCGATTGAAAAAATTTCAATGCAACATACCTTTGGCGGTAGTCCATGTCTTGCTGACAATGAATTTGGCACAACATCGACTATTGTAGCCGTATTACCATCTCTAATTAACCCCAAGCATTGACGATCGATTTCCCTTCGAATTGCATACACTCTTCCAAATGGAACTCGTCGAATTATGAATTCGATCTGAAATATGTTTCACCATTTTTAATTGTTATCGATTTTGTTAAATTTTTGGAGTGTGAATGGAACATACGAATTGGCCAGTTGAATTGTTGATAATTTTATTCGCTTCTTTGGCATTCGTCACAGTGACTCCGCCTATTGATATGATTTGATCACCGATATGCAGTGCATTGTACAGCATTGGGTGTTCTTTTTGTTTCCATCCAGATATCCTGAAATTCGTCATGAAATAGGAAGAAAAATGAGTGAAAATCAATGGTAATAGACGTCGGTCTCACTCACCATGCTGCACCGAATGCATCGACAAAGGCAATTGAACTAGTACAGTCTTTTTTTCGTAGCTGTAGTCGAACACCACCCACGTGACACATTTCACGTCGAAGTTGCATCACTTGTTGTTCACGCAATGTCATACGACCAGAAGCACGTAGCGATATATCGACATTCGGTCGAAATGGTTGATTGGGCTGCGCTACCGTTCGACGAAATTCTGTGTGAAAAAATAATAATAACATTATAAATTAAATGTCTTTAAAACCTTACATTCGTTTTACATCATTGCGAAACACACCCGAATTATTGTTTGAGGCATTACCACTGGAAGATACGTTATTATTGTTTGAGCGTGTACGATTTCTCTGTGTATCGGATGTGGATGAACTTCGTTTTCTTTGTTCGGCTGAGTCACGATGTTGGGAATTTGTGTGGAACTCAGATGGCGAACACTGTTACAATAAAACGAAAAATTAATTTATTCTGTTTGTATTTTTAAAAAGAAAAAAACTTGACCAATCATAGCTTACATGATTCCCTTGTGGATTAATTCGATTCAGTAGCATGTTAACGTCTTTTCGACTGGGTCTCATAATAACCGCTTCGGTGACGCCTCTTGATAAAACTGGTCTTCGCGATGATAACAAATCATTTTCATGACTACTTTTAGTTGAATCTTTTGATTTTGATACTGAATTTGATATGTTTGTATCGGTTGCGGCAGCAGCAATAGCTGCTACAGAAAATGTGACTGTACTCGATGTTGATGTGGATGGTCGAATTTCGGCGGAGTCATCAGATGGCAATCTATGTGCTGAATCGACTTTAATTCGATTGATTTTGGGTTGGATTTCATTCGATTCAGTGTTGTTTCCGGTTGAAATCGATGCGCCGGATGGTGTATGCGTAATGAATACTTGTTCATAATGTAATTGTTCCTGTTGCTGAAAGGCTTGTTTCTCGTTTGCACCAATCGAAATATTTGTTACAGCCCCAAATTGACGTGCACTTTGAATATCATCGTGAGCTTCAAGCGAAGTGCTTAAAATATTTTTAGTGACTGACGACGTTAGAACCGATTGTTCCTTGATTTGTTGACAATTTGGAGTATTTGAATCGTTTGTAACTTGCACTGTTGTGACTTGCACTGCACTTTGATCGTTCGGCAAATAGTTGGACGGTATAATTTGGACGTTATTCATGTAGTTTAAATCAGGTTTCTCAGCACTTTCATTTTGTGCATTTACATTTATTTTATTTGCACTTGACACTTGAATTATGGTTATATTTGTTGTTGCAGCGGCACCATCAGCCGTTGTATCATTCGATTGACTGTCGGCTGGTTCAACTTTTTTTGATTTTGCAGCTGATCCGCGCGTTGTTTGCGGCCTGAAACCGAAATGAAATTGTGCAAAAAAAAACTCCACATTTTAGCAAGAAAATATTTACCTTGGAATAACGATTGGTTCAGGTGTTGGATATATTCCATATACAGATGAGTCCACGCTGATTGAATCTGAAGCGGAAAATTCAATTCAGGTTATGAGCTAAAGACAAAAGAGAGATATGATTTTACCTTCAGCCACATCACGATTGTTGGGCAATGCGCTGGACGATAATGTTGTTGTATTAGCAACATTATTCTGTGTACGTTTTGAGCTTGAACTGGTATTTGCATCAAATAGAACATTGGCAGCAAAAGTTCGTGCCAAAGAATGTACATGTTCATTTTTATTCTCATCGCTTTTTGGTTCACTGATAATATCCGATGTTGAAGCATCCGATACAAATGAATCATTGCTTTCTAGATCATTTTGTAAAATGACGGGTTCATTAGTTTGTTGGCTAAAATTCGGGAGTGGATACAGCATTTTAATCAGATTCTGTGAAAGTGTATTAGATGTTGATGATATGGGTGTTGATGTTGTAATTATTGTTTCAACAGCAAAACTGTCTTCGCTGCTTCCATCATTTTCATTGTCATGTTGTGTTTGATTGCGCAATGACGGTGATGTATTTCGACGATTTTGAATTCGTTCCGTGCCATCGCTGCTGTTTAATGTAGTCGATTCAGATGATTGTTGATTTGCTGTCGCTACGTGCAGTGCATTGCTATTTAATGGAAGTGTGGTGGATGTGGTTGCGGCCAATGGTGTTCGACTAGTTTGTGTTGTATTTACAATTCGTTCAACGCCTGGCACAATGGCAGCTGGTACGGGCGGTGTTGCAGGCAGTGGATCCCTTGTTGGATCTCTAGTTGGCAACAATGGTGGACGAACTTCTGGCAATTTACTATATAAATTTTCTTTTGGCGATAAAATTTTCATTTCACGCAATTTCAAGCGCAACGTGTCTACCCACTCTTGCATTATTTCCCTACATTTTTTTTTCGTTTTTTTTTTTTTTGAAAAGCAAATAAATTAAACAATCGCATGATTACACATCGAAAACAAATATTTAAATTGGAAAGTCGAAAAGTGAACGCGCTTACCATGATGATGCATTGAATCGAAGTGTCTCGCCGGCGAGCGCAATTACAAATTCATACTCATTTTCGGATGGCACTAATGTATGTGATATGTGTAAAGTAGTTTGAAGCGAAACAGTCCAATCGGGTGAATGTGAGGGGGCCTGTCGCGGTTCAGCATAGCCTTCCAATAATGCTTCACAATCATCATGAACACAAAACACCACCCAATACTTCTCAGGTTTCTTTATAAAATAAAACGAAACAAAAGAGAAAACTATAAATCGTAATAGCACCAATCAACCAAGCAATATTTATATAAAAATATAGGTATGAAAAAAAATCCAAGCATGTGAAATTACAGACCATTCAAAATCGTTCTATCGCATTGTGTTTGTTTACGTTTTGAACATAAATGCATTGCGAAATGATGAAATTTCATAATTGCATCGCCTTACATCACACGATCGAATGATGACGAAAAAACACTATGTGAATTCCCATGAATCAGATGGAATTTTTGTTTTACAAACCTTTATGCCAACGGGAATCTTTCGATTGTCGGCAATAACCCGTTTTAGCCATGTGTTTTTGTGAATTTCACGAAAAAGTGTTCCTCGGCCTTCCATATCTGTTTCTCTTTCGCATTGCACTCATTTGTTATGTTCTAATCTAATCTATGTAATTCCATTATTTTGTATATTATGTTTTTTTTTTCTTATTGTTTATTTGATAAAAATGACCAACACACACAATTCAAAGTAATTCAAATATAAATAGTGTTTGCACCATTTAATCATATAAATGTGTTCAATGCAATGTTATATGATATGCTTAATTGACAAATCAAAACTAACAATAACATTGAAATATTGTATAAAAAAATTCCAAAGAAATTAAATGTGAAATGCAAATATGTACAAATTTCGCTTGCCACTGGGATGTGTCAAAAAAAGTGAACATCGAATTCGATTTTCGAAAGTCATAACATGAGTTGGTTGGTTTCGAACTTCGAAAATAAAGAGTTTCGAACAACATCTGGTATTTGTATATTCAATTCGAACAACATTCTAGTTACGAATGAAAACAAACAATTTTCAAAACCTAAAATTGATCAAAACAAACAACACAAATGAACTATTTTCGTTTTATTCGTTTATTTTTACGTCTCAGTTTATGTAATTTTTTTGCATTTCTGATTGAGCATCTTTGAAAGAACTTATTATATTTATACACGTATTCAATTTCTCTAAACAATTTGTACAAGCTAACTTAGATAAATTATCGTCACTCTTTATCTGAAAACGAAACAAGAAGAGAGAAGAAAATTAAGCAAATTGTTTTTGTGAATAGTTTAAATCAATCGCTTACTTGATTTGGTAAAATTGACTCTAATGTTTCATATATTCCAGGATCTGTTGAAAAATCTTTTAAATGTTCACCCGATGTGAATGATTTAGCGCATAGTCTACACACCAAAAACGAATGTTGAATTTCAATATCACAATTCAATGGAGCGCAATCGACAATATTATCAAATGAATTTTCATTTGACAAATCATTTATATTGTCGGAAATATCATTGAAAAATGATCCAGAACAACTCGATATATCGAGTGGATAATTGTAGTGGTCATGAAAGACCGATAAGCTCTCCATCGAAATTCCTTCTTTTGTACGATTCATCGGTGAAAAATCATTTATTGGACCATAGTTTGGTGTTCGCTTCGATCGTTCCTCTACTTCTTCGGTGAATTCGTTTCCATTGGATGTATGTCGTTGTGAACTTGGAATATATTTATCAATATTGCATTTAAAAATTGTTGGCACTGGAATATTTATTGGGTACAGGCTCTTTTTCAGCCGTGTATTATGCGGCGGATCGATAAAACAATCGTCACTGAAATGCTCCGAACATAAATAATATTTGGTAATACAACTCAATTTCTTTTCCAGCAAATCCGCTCGATTTGCAGCTATTGCCCATTTTACAGCGCTACAAATGAACGATTTTTACACAATAAATTCAAATCAAACGAAATTTCGGTTGAATTTTAAACCAGTAACTTACAATTCTTCGTATTTGGGGAAACCGTGATAGGTCACATTTTTGTTTATGGTCTGTGAATTAAAGCACATTTCGGCACAGCAACGTTTGGACATCTTTTCGTGAATGTTTTTTGTAGTTTTTTAGGTAATATAAAAAAACCATCCACACAGTTTTACGATTTAATTTAGTTTTTGGCATTTATTTCGTTTAAATGACGGAAGAAAACACTGGCTGCTACAGTTGAATTTTTGTTTCTTAGACATTTTATGTTATACATTTGACAGTTCGAACTTTTATTGTGTAAATTCGAATGATTGTATTGCATTGGCCGTTCGTATCATTGGACTAATATTCAAATTGTTTCAATCAAACGATTTTTTCACAGTGTCAAACCACAAAAAAAATAGGAAAAAATTGTCTTAAAATATTAATTTCAAAAATGTCATCATTTTAAACAAAATATTTGGTGATTTCAATATTTTGGAGATAATTTGTTGCTGTCGACATCTAGCGACCACAACCATCAATTGTTTAGATTAATTCGGAACAAAATTATTATTCTCATAAAAGCTACTCGATGCATGGAAAAAGTTGAATTTTAATTTTCATTCACCACAAGGTGAAAAAAAATCCAAATTTTTCAAAAAATTCAATTTTTTTTGAATGAATTGAAAATGAAACCGTCTCATTTGTAAAGCATAAAGCGTGATATGCTGTGTAATATCGACTAGGAATAGGAAATAAGGCGACAACTGGCTATCGATAAACCATTTGGAAAATGTCATTTTCCACCAAACACTCTGTTTGTATGCGCTGTGTACGCATACGCATACAAAAGGAAAATTGTGAAACTACCCTCGATAAAAGTCACAAATATTGATTTCCCCTATTTTCAAACAAATATACTTTTCACAAAAGGTCAGACGTAAAATAATTTACTCGGTGATTTTCTCAATTTTTTTCGTTACCATTTCAACAAAATTCAAAAACAAAGTATTTTTTTGGGAAATTTTGTGTTGGTTTTATTTAACAAAAAAATAAAAATCGCTGGAAATTTTTTTCGTTTTTGTGATGTTGAAATTTATTTTAATCCATACATATTGTAAAGAGAAAAAAGCGAGTCAGTCCAGTGTGAATTTTCGATTTGGAAAATTTCTTGCCCAAGAAATTGACCACACAGTGTTACTACGAATATCGATATTTTTCCACATTGAACCGGCTCCACTCTTATATTTCGTGTGCCCAAGGAAACATATTCAACTAGAATTTTTCTTTCTTCATCTCTCTTTCTCTCTCTCTCTCTCTATCTCTTTCTAACACTCACTCTCTTTCATTTTTATTTCACAGAACAAGTAACGAATCCGTGAACGCCTTGAATATTATACAGAAAAAAAGAAGAATAAATTAACATAATAAGAAAATCGAAAACTGAATCTAAATCAACTGAAAAGAACGTTGTTTCGCCTAAATTGAGTGTGTGTGTGCGTGTTTTTTTTTACAAATTCCAATCAATTAGACAAAAATATTAAATATTTATATTTGTGTGTGAGTGATTTAGTGAAAATAAAAACATCCTTATGATTGGATCATTTTGGAATTTCTGTAGAGCGTGCCCATCGATGCCTGAAGACAAGGTAACAACCATTCACAAAACGGAAGTTCATTGCCTTTTGCTCGTTTTCGTTCGTTTTGTACTCTTTTTTCGCATTTTCTTCTTTTATTTGCTTTGTATGCCATTTTCCTTTCATTATTCATGTCCATAAATATGAAATTTAATGACGAATTTGCTACAGAATTACATACAACAATGTGAATAAGAACCGCATAACACAAAATAAAAATGAAACAAGAACCAAGAATCAGGAATGGAACTTGAATTTGCCTGAGGCAAATGAGTTGTATGTGTCTCTCTTTGTGTGTGTTTTGAATATGTGTTAGTAATACACAGTCTACAATTGCCATATGTACTTTTCAATGTTCGCATAATTACTTTGACTTGAAAACAAGCAACAAAAACTGTGCCTTGTTCTTGAATTTATTAAAAAAGAAGAAGAATGGAATATTTAAAATAACATTCCATTAAGAAACTTTGTAATTATGATGCGACAATAACTTGATTTGCTGCAACAATTTGTTGTTTTTTCGTGTAACATCTTTCATATAGGAATCGCTTTTTTTGGAGATTTGACAAAGTTTCCATGCCAATATTCGGTCGATGATCTAATGTGTATGCGGAATAGTTTGCGACTCAATTGGCCCATTGCATTTCGACCGTGGGCTCAATTACATTTTCTCATATTTTATAATTTTGTTTTTTTATTGATATGACATTTTGAAATGTGGTTATAAATCTTTTTGGTTGATGTTCCCGATTCAAATATCAATTGTCTCGATAATCTTTTTACTATTTTACATCCGCATAAGTTTGATTGATGTCTCGCCAATTTGACTCCATGTCAGCGTCGAATCGCGAACGATTTTTTTGTTGTGGAACTTTGTGTGAAATGTGGGGAAAATGATGTAATACACATAACGAAGAACGAAAAAAATATAATATATATATATATATCGCGTAAATATACAATAGTGGTGTGTATCACAGGAAAAACTAGCCATAAAAAATACCGCATTACGAGGACAAACCGAATAAACTTCCATTAATGATTATGACTAAGGCAACCATAAGTTATCTAAAAATGAAGCAATACAGCTGAGCATATACGGGGGGGTGAAACGGTATACCGTATGTATGTGTATTAAGCATGAAAATTAATTGAAAGCACTGCATTTCATGAGATTTTTCGTGTTTATATTCGACGAGCCATTTACATAAATTGCCGCTACCAAATGCTTATGTCTGTATGTGTCGGCTATGTGTGTGCTTGTGCTTGTTGGGTGAATAGGTGAAAATTAAATAAACATAGGACACAGGAAATGCATGTATTTATTCGGAACGGAACTATCGACCGGAATGGCGAAGTAACTTTAACAAATCTCAAGAAAGAAAAAGAAATATATATTAAATACCTCTACTCCTCTTCATTTCGGCTGACACATTGTGGACAAATTTGTTTCATTTCTTCTTGAGCTTCTGTTTTTCTTGAATAAAATTCGATTAAAACAATTTCAAAGTGACATATGTAATGCAAGCGTTTAATTTTAAAATTGTCGTTTTATTGTCTTTGTAGCTCCATTCGGAATACCGTAGTACTTATCGTTGGCATGAGTATACAGGTAACAATCGAGCGGAAGTCATTAAAAAGCCGCCAGCAACTAATCAATTCGGTAAGTTAAAAATAAATGTCATTGTCTCTCTGTCTATTATTCTCTCTCTCACACACACTTACGTCTTTATTTTTATCGTTCCGATTAATTCGTTGATTGGATAATGGCTCTTATGTTTTGTGGGATTTTTGATGGTTTCATCTACGCAAGACGACTAAATGAACGAAACCAATTTATCTGTCTATATGTGTGTTAAAAATGAAAATGAAATTTGTTAAAAAATGAAAAAGAAAATGACGATTTTAACATCAAATTTCCCACTTTGTGATAAAGAGTTTTATTCATTTATTTTTTTATTGTGATCAAGGTTATTTTTAATCTATAACCAATTTTACCCCCTTTTGTAAAACTTGTAAATCGATAACAACATGCAACGATTAACAGCCAGCTCTGCGGATCATTTTTTCTCCAAGTCCACGGAAGAAGAACGTCATGTTGAAGGTGATTTTATCTGTACAAAACAAAATAAAATCAAAAAAAAAATTGAAACAAATCAAATCATCATTACCTCGAACGTTTTTACTCACCAGTTGTCATTGTACAATTTTACTGCACATAAAAGACCATCAAATATGTTTTATTTTCTCGATCATATACATATGCGAAACGATATAAGTGCTTTTCATACACGAGTAGTGTTGTGATTGCTGTTGGTTTTTTTTGCAAAGACATTTGGCTGAAATGGAGCTGAATGTATTCGCAAGAAATCACCACTTTCTCACTACTTTCTATTCTTTTTCATTCAAACAACTTCATTTCTGTCTCTTTCTTGCTCTCCTTACAAGCTTGTTAATATTAAATTTGATATCTATGTTAAATAATTGAAATGGAAACCCTATTTTCCATTGTAAATTCAAATAATCTTTGTTGCAGAAACAAATAGAATGTAACAAAAGCAAAATAAATCGAAAATATTTATGGTTACCAATTGGAGTCAGCTCTATGATTTTACCTTTGTTTCGCATTTATATCAGTTTTGTACTGTGCTTCACCATTGTTATAAAAAAAACACACACACACACCGTGGTGCAAATCGTGTAAATGCTTTCATTCTCTTCCGTGACTGTTCATTTTTAACGCAGCAAAATCCCACTGTTCGACTTATTCGCTTTTCTATTGATTAATTACTGTTTGCTTTCATTTCAATTCCGTTACATTTTCATTCAGGTGTTATCAACGAACCTCCATTGCCAAGACGTAAAAAGTGTCCTGAATTAGCATATAGAACTCATGAATTTATAACTGGTGAGACGAGAACTAAAAATGATATAAACGCCCGTACGTACAATGGCCGAGCTAGGGTAAGTAGTGAATGGTCACGTGTCAGCGACAAATTTGTTGTTTATATTTTCACTTTTAATGAACAATTTTCATCGAGTTGATTTGCTAAATAAAATATTCTTCTTTTATATGTGGGTTTGAATGGTGTAGTCCGAGGAGCGTGGAACACCGTCACGTCGTAGTAAGTCAGAAGGTCCTTATCGAATTCCAAATGGCGACGCTTATCCAATAGGCGATACCGTGGATAAGCCAAATGGCCATCCGAAAACAGGAAGTAAGGTAAGGCAATGGTTTATACCAATCGACATACATACATCTCCATATATATATGCATCTATAGCTTCTATTATACATATGTGTATCCATTCCAATGATTTTTCAACGATCAATCCAGGCTAATCCAGGCATATGTGCAATAAATACATGCATAAACTAAAATTCTCTCACACAATGTCAACAATCGAACCAAAACAACTTAAAAATAGCAAAAATAATAAATGCAATTAATTTCGTTCCGTATTCATAAAATTCTATAAATTATAATGGTCAATTTGTCAAATTTTTGTATAAATTTTGTGTTTTTTTTTTCAACTCTCGTTAAAAATCAAAACAATTATTTGAACACATACACACATATATATCAATTTTGTGCTCTCTCTCTTTTGTCGTTGTAGTTCTTCTTGCAGTTAACAAACATATAAATATTGTTTTAATTAATGTATTGTATTTTAATTGTATTCCTCAATCTTATTTGCAGGCGGGTGAGTCTAACGGACTTTTCAGAAAAACAATATCAAAATTGAGCACAGAATATCGAATACAATTTATTTGGCCGCACACGCGAAAAGATCGAAAGAGAGGCGATGACGAAATCGATATTCCGAAAAAATCCTTATCAATGGGTGCTATAAAGGCAGCACAATCAAATGCGATGCCTACCGTACATAAAAAGCGAACAATCTACGAAAAAGAAGGTGCGACTAAACGTCGTGCGTTTTATGATTTTTCATTTTTGTTATTCATTTTAAAAGAACCGTATAACATTCGATTTTTTCAAATTTATTATTTCTCTTTCTTCGAAAAATTGATTTTCACTTAATTTTTTTTCTCCATTTGATATGTTTATTTTGGTTTGGCTTTTTTGTTTTCATGTTGTCGTGTTTGTGTTCATTCTTCTTCTTCGTTTCACTTTTTGGTTTGTCATTTTTCTTTTCAAAATTCAAAATCGATTTTATATGTTGAGAGTCCAAAATTCAAATGACATAATTTTCTTTATTTCCAACAAAATTCGAAACAACAAATCTGTGAGTTCTTTCATTTTTAACCACCTTTCGGATGAAATGTCAATGATCGTCTGAAAGGCGGTGTGTGTTTGTTTTTACAATATCTTGAATCGGAATTTTGCGATCAATATCACAAAAACCACATCCAAACATTGAGTTTTATACGTGCATTTTTCGTTTTAATACTTGATAAGCAATACCAAACAAAATCAATCGTTTTCTGTATCGAATCGTTATTTTTTTTAAAAGTCTAAATCGAAATGCGTAGCTCAAAGGTTTTATTCATTTTTGATATTGTTTGATGTTTTTTAATCAATTTTACATATATCATTCATTATATATATTGATGTACCAATAACCATTAATAACAAAATTAACCCAAATTCAACTTTCATCCAAAAAAAAAACGAAACGAAAAACTTTTAAGTCATTTACATGTCAAAAGCTATCTATCTTCTGTTCGGATTATGTTCCACTGAAAATAGAAACTATGAGTATTAAATAAGGAATTGCATGATTACGTTTTTTCCCCAATTTTTTTTTCTACTTTTATATTCATAACACAATCAATCATACATATACAGTGCATTAACCTTCCTCTTTCATTTCCGTTCAACTGTTCTCATTTACTCTTTATGTCTACGTACGAACCAAATCATGTACACGATATTTGTAGATTTTTAGAATTTCAACGCCAATTCTGAACTGAGCGGTGCAAGAGATGCATTTCAGTTTAGTCGGGAATGGTTGCGAAAAAAGTAAAATTTTCAGACGAACGACAAAACACACACACGCCAAAGAAAAATATCGAACGGAACGACATGTAAAACGCGAAAACGAAAAAATTTGAACAAAAAAGCACAACAAAGCTTTGAAGTGCACACAAATTAAACCAATTTTATTCGCAGCTTTTCTTGAATATACAATTTTTGTTGTATATATATGTAACATACTTTGTATTGCTGAGCAATTACGAATACATGTACGAATTTTCGCATCAACAATGAAATATTCCACGTACTAACATTTTCTTTCGAATTCGTCCACATCTCAATAAATCACATTGTCTCATGGTGTATAAATAACCTATGATCTAATAACATACACTCACACACACACACATACACACACACTTTTATCAACTTACTCACTCGATTTGCTCACTTTCTCTCCTTCTCTCATACTTGAGTGTTCTTCTTGATATGTGGCTTATATCGAAATTCAAATATCCATTAAAATTTCAACACCTTCAAATGTGTATAGTGTGTATATATATAATACAAATTATATTTTATAAAAATCTCGGCTCTATAATATACGCCGTAAAATGTGAGAGCATAAATATTTCGGGCGATTTAAGTGAAAAGCCGGCAAAACTTATGCATGCAACGCAAGCTTATATATTTATTATGAGTTTTGGTGCATTTATTTTATTTTGTTGGGAAATATGTAATAAGTCATTATATTCTTATGCATGCATACATTTATATACATAGAATATTCTCACTTCTTATATTTGTCTATCTCTAACTCTATCTATCTGTCTATCTCTCATACATTTATCTAAATAAATTGTAAGCCTCCGATCTACCAGATATATACAATTGGTTTGAAGAATTTTTTACATTGTCCTGTGACTTGTTATGACAAAAGTACACAATACAAAGTATCCAAAAATGAAATAATGTTTTATGTTTCTGTTCTCTGTTCTTTTCTTTCTGCCATTTTTGGTTTCTCGTTCACACTTAAATACTTATACAGTTGAAAATGAAACACGTACTTGTTTGTTTCTTTCTTTTGTTCGTTCAGTTTGTATTTTTTTTTAAATGTAAATAGATATCTAGCAATAAATATATATAGATGGAATTTAGCTTTGATCAATGACAAATGTTTGCAAGATGATAAAGCAGAAAAATGAAAAAAAAACGGTTGATATTTATAAATTTATGTATGTTTTCTACTATTTTCAATAGCATCCACGCAAGAGCTGGAACCATTGTGTGCCGAAGAGAAAATCGAAAAGTATGCAAATAACTAACACCGTACACCAAATGCTAATATTATGCACATTTTTCTCTGTCTGTTTGTCTATTACAGAAAAAGCGAGTTTCCAGCAAAGAAATCGGTGCGACCATTTTCGCAGTACGCATACGATAGCAAGTTTAAACATGGTCATACCGAAAGAGAGAATTTCGGCTTTGCGACTGATGCTGAAAATAAAATAGATAACAAGACTTTAGTCAATGGTGGACACGTAGCACAAACATGGTACCGTGATGTGGTTGAATTGCGTAAAAAAGCGGAAGAGTACAAGGTTTGTAAAAACTATATACCATCATTTCATGTCAAAAAAATGTTTTTCGTTTGTATGCGCTGTCATTCAAAAAAAAAGATAAATAAATAAACGAAAGAAAGAAACATTTTACCATTTCATTTTATTTCGTTTATCACATAGAATCGTGGTTGGGGCACTGAAATAAATCCGGATCTATATAAAAAGCAAAAAGATTTATGGGATCAAGTCTCACGTCGTAGCTCCTTATCGGCTCTTCATGTAAGCTCATCACACTTATTTTCAATGTCTTTCTTTCTTTTACTTATTGTTATGTGTCTATAAAACAATCAGCTGGCATCAGCCGTACACAAGCCAATTACTAAAGAAGAAAAAGAAGCCGCAAATAATAAGAAAAGTTCACCGATCAAAAATGTGTCGGCCAAAAATGTGAGCCAAATTAATTTCATTGACAATAAATTAATTCACGATGCCGCATTACCAGCTCGTGCACTTTATATTCGTCATCATTTGGGGCGCACCACTGGCTTGGGTAAGAATGAATTTTTGAATGAAATCGCGTCTTATTATAATATGGTTAAAAAAAAAAACATTTCTTTTTGCACAATTTAGATATGGAAGATGGTGCATTATTGCCATCACCAACACGTGATAAGCTAATGCCAACCATTCCCAAATCAAAAGAAGATGAAAGCTATAATTCACAACGTGGTAGCCCAAAGAAGAGTGCTATCTCACGGCATGGCAGCCCACAAAAAGGATCTCCACAAAAAATGCAAAAGAAGACAATAAAACAAAGTAAGTGTTTGAAATGAAACGAACAACAATATTCAATATCGTCTTTGTATTTCATTGGTAATTAAATTTTGTGTTTTCTCGAAATGTGAAAAAAAATTGATATTATTCATTGTGATTGCTTATCAAGCAGATCGATCGCAATCGGTTGGACCGGCTCCGTCAAATGTGGACAGCTCACCGAAACGACAAGTTCGTTCAGGTAGCGCTGCACCAGCAACCACCATCGCTGGCACAAAAGTAGGCAAGAAAACACCAGTATCGACACCAACAATCGTGGAACGACGCCCTCGACCAAGTAAGTAAATTTACACATTCCGTAGAGAAAATTATGTTGAAAATAAAAAAGAGATAAAGAAAACAACAACAGAGAATTGGCTGAGTCATATATATCCAACACAGACACTCTAACAACAACAAAAAATAACGTTAAACACTGCTTACAATACATTCTCTTTATTCATTTATCATTATTATTATTTTTGTTTTATTTGAATTTATTTACTATAAACTTACAATAATTATTATATACTCGAAGAGAACAATTTTCTTTATAAATGACACAAAAACTCAATCACAATTTATGAATTCAGATTTTATTTACACACTTGAGAGATTCAGTAGATGCTCGGATCTAATAATAAATAATTAAAAAAAAAAACAAAACAAAAATTCATTCTGTATGAACAACACATTTATGGAGTGAAAAGAAAAGTTCATTATACTTTTGTTCATTTACATTTATTTCCTATTCTTAAACCATAAGTTGCAGTTCGCTTTTGCATCTTGATTAGTGTATATGGGTTGCTTTATACTATTTCTTTTCTCTGTCATAAAAATGATTTTAGATGTCGCATCAACTGTTTACAATGTAAAACCCTGTAGACACTCATTGTTATTGACAAACTGATGATAACGACTGTTGACGAAGAACATAAAATTACTATAATATCTGTGCATTTTTTTTTATCTCTCAGTAGACTTTGTAATGTGTAAGCTGTCGCTATGAGTAATTACGGATTCCGAAAGTCTACAGTATTTGCATTTTTAAGCAGACATCGTGTACTCGATCTCTCTTCAAATCCATTCATAAAATATGACCCATTCAATTATACATTACACATTTTCCATTTTCCACAAAATATTCAGGCCGTTTCGACAGAAACTAAAGCGGCATGAAGAAAAAAAAAGTATTCAAAAAGCATAAAATAGTACACCAAATGCAACGTATTTTAAAAAACTCTTGTGCATAGTCTCATTATCATTTATTAAAATGGCGAAAAAACCGAATACTCTTCAACAATTTTTTGAATGAGAATTTCTACAACAATCCTTTCAAAATGCGCATTGGCATATACTTCATGAAAATGGCTGCCAAACGATTTAGCTCACAAATAGTTTATACATTAATTTGGGTATTAGTACCACGAAATTGCGGTATAGTTTACGTGCGTTTTTGTTTTGCTTCATTCGCTGTTCTGTATAGTGTTTTAGGGTCATTTATAAAAGAATTGCACTCGGCAATTATTGGACTATCCTTAAGTTTATATTTTACTTCGAGACAGTGCGTGTATTAATACGTTTTTTCCCATTAAAATGTGGATATTAACATGCCGAGCATGCTACGAAACGCATGATTTCAAAACAAATGTTGATTTAAAAAAAAAAAACCAAGGCAACAAACACTCCTCACAATAAATGTCAACACATGGAAACAACAGTCAATTTAGATAGACACTGAATTTAAAATCAATGTTTTTTGCATTAAGCAATTCAATTTATTTTTCGTTGATTTTTTTATATGTGCATTTAATATTTCGATGTATATCACAAAAATTGATTTAGATAAATTAAATGTTCGTTTCGTTTTCGTTCGAAATTGCTTTTGAAAAATTCAATACATTTAGCAACCGATATTGCTAATATGTTTCCACCGACCGCGCGGTGAACATAGTACAATATCAGATTGTTTGTAAATAAAATTTGTATAGATTTAATTATGGTGATAAATTGCACAAATTACAAATCACACCATCATTCTCGAAAAATGCGAGCCTTTTGAATCTCTACCTTTGTAAATAAACTTTCCTTTGAAAATTCATTCATATTAAACATGTTCATACACATTCTATATAGATTCATTGAATGTGAATTTTATTTGTGAAAATTCATGCATTTTAACAAATGCAAAACGGAACATATTGAAAATGTACATTGAATTGAAAAAAGAAAGTTTTGAATTTAATTTGAATAAACTTTAAATTGATTTCATCAAAATCTTAATTTAATTTTCATTTGAAGTTCTGTCTTCAATGTTGAACCATTCAATAATGGAAAAATCCCATTCAAAAGGCATCAAAGTGTCACTTCATGTTATTTGTGCAAAAGTTTTAATGCAATTGCATTTTGAGAGAATAGAGTGAAATCTATGAATTCTTTTGAATGAATCTGAGAAAAAGCAACGAAAATGAAATGGAAACAATGGAAATTTAATTTGAAACTTAAGTCTTAAGCACCAAATTAAATTTTCATCAATTTAAATAGCGAGTAAAAACTGGTACGATTTTAATTTGAAAATTTCGATCAGAAGAAAACTTGAGTTACTTGATAATTTATATGTTTGTATTGGTAGATGAATTACATTAATTTCTGAAAATATTTCTAGCAACCCTTTCCACATCCAATCATTATCGCTCTAAAAGTAGTTCCATACCGCCTATCGGTAGAGCTCATTCAACTACTCCTGGCTCTCATCAAAATCAAAATTTTGCGCCAAACAATACACACAAACTCTCATCACCATCCCAAAACACAATACCCGTTGATCCATCCAATCCAAATCAAAGAATCCTCTCAAAAACAACCACAAAACAGAGACCTCAATCGGCTATTGTGATGGGTACATTCGACCCAATGACTGCATCGACTATTATATTTAACGATTCACAAAAGGTCACAAATCAGGACAAGAAAACTGCGAGAAGTAAGTAATTCCAATTAGATCAAATTTAATTTCCCGTTACAAAACAAACAACAACAAAAAACACACACGATTTTAAACTGGATAGGAATTGTTTTTTTCCGTTGTTCATTCGTTCCTTTTCTTTTTTTGAATATGTCGTCTTTTCGTTTTTAATTTTTCCTGTTTCGTTTGCATTTGCGTTGTTCCACCTAAGTTTTGCTTCAATCAGTCCAATTTCATATTCAAATTATTTCAATATTCAACATGAAATCGATGTTTGGTGTTGTGAAAGCTTTTATATTGCCAATATTTTTGTTGAGCCGTCCATTTCACATAGACATTATACTATTAATGCGATTTTTGAGCCAATTGAACATTATATTTTAAAATTCGAACATTTCCTTTTTTGTTGACGAAACGAATTTTTGAATTTTAAATGTGCCTTTTTCTTGCACCAAACTACACAATTACCATCAGAATATTTCTTTATTTTGTGTTTTTACAATCGGCTCGATCGCAATAATAGTGAAAAAAAAAATTTGCTGCAAAGAGACTTTTCTTGTTTCATTTACATTTTAATTGATGTGCGCATTACCGTTTTAAGTGTAACAAAATTGTTTGTAATTCCCGTCGTGTGGACGTTTTTTTTGGTTCAAAGTGCATTGCATTTTTTATAGAGCAAATCTAATAAACTAAAAAAAGACTCAAATGCCAAATTGTGTAGAATTCAAGAATCAAGGCGAATCCATTCCATTGCCATTGGTTTCTGTATGCACATAATGCTTGAATTTTGTATAAAATTTCGCCGAATGAAAAATAGAAACAACTGTCGCCTAGATTTGAACGTCTCTTTTATTTCGTGCCATTTGTTATTTTAGCTTTCAGTTTCACTTCGTTCGTGCATTTATTTTTACTGATCATACTAAACAAATACACATTACAAAGATTAAATAAACAAAAACAAAATATTTTATTTGAAAAAAGTAAACAAATTCGCGAAAATTCATTAAAACAAAGAAAACTACTTACTTTTCGACAGTTTAGTTATCATAACATAAACAACAAATTAACAATACATTTAACATTAAATTCATCCATTCGATTCACAAAAACATCAATCAATTGGCTCAAAATCATTTTCATAAATTGAAAGGTTGACTTTTCATCTCTTCATTCAAAGCTTCCGATACTAAAACATTTTTAAACACGCTAGTGGCTTTTAAAGAAAATTTAAAGAAACAGAACTTTTGACTACGGTAAATGAATGTTGGAGTAAATTTGAACATTACGTATTTTTTGTAAAAACTTGTCAAAAACATAATAGTTCGAAATTGTCCCTATTCCTTAATCGAGGGGGTGCACACAGATTTTTATAAAATTTATAACAAAATGCTGTGCAATTATTTATACAATTTTACCATTTTGGAGATTTGTGGACCCACATGGGGCTCATCAACTTATCTTTAACGTAGAATAAAAATGGTTTGTTTCTTTTATATTTCATCAAAAATCACTAATATGCTGAAAAATAACGTTTTACTTCAGAAACTCTGTCTCTTTTACTAGATTCTTTTAGTAAAGATCTAAATTCCACACACACAAACACATTAACACAATTCAATTATATACATATATAAATATATAAATAATACATGTTTGTGAAGACCTTATGTCTGGAACCTGGGCGAAATAAATTATAAGTTGCTTGAATTTTCATTTTATCTGCTTACTGTCTATAAATATTTACTTCACTGTTCTCATGAGCTAGTAGTCCCATTGAAGAAAACGATGAAAGCATTCAAAACTATCGATATCGAAATTTTGATAATGAAAATTAAAAATTAAAACAACAAACAAACAATAATGCCCCCGCCTCCAAAATAATTGGTATTCACTTGAAGTTGGTTTCGATTTTATCACACACATACAACATTGGAAACGTTCTTCAATAGGAACTGTTTTTCATGATTAAATCTCTCAATTTCTTTTCTTTCTTTTTTAATCACAAACCATTTTGTATTACACTTAACTAAATGTAATTGTAATTCACTTGAATCTATGTCCAGAATTTCACTTAAACCATTTCACGTACACACATACACACACATATATGACTAGACAAATTGAAAATTGTTTTTGAGTTCCAGTCTTGCTTTTTATGGAGAGTAGAACAAAGTTCATTTCAATCATTTTGAAGTTTTGTTTTTTGTTTCTATCCTATCAGTTCAATTCAATTTACAATCCATTCAGACAAATAAAAAAATGAAGATGAATCAGCCAATAATAATAATAATAACAATAACAATAAAACGCATTTTTGAATATAATTTTTTTTGGTGTCAAGCAAAAAGAAAATATTTTTCTTTTTTCTCTCATTCATTTGTGCAATAACATCCTTTTTTTTACCTTCATCGTTGTAAACTAAATAAAAAACAATTTGTTGATTTAGGACCGCAAGCGATGAGTAATACAAACGCGACTAGAATTGGCAATAGAGTAGGTTCGGCACCAAAAGAAAGACCAAAACCAAAACCAAGAGAAATCTGCCCAAGATTTCAACCAAGCATAACGTACAATAGTAGCATACGTAGTAGAAATCAGGCAACAACACGTTTAGGTACGTCGGATAAAGCGAAATTAAATGCTGCAAAAAAACCGTCGATTCCATTGCTACATTCAAAAGCGAGCTCTAACCAGAATACGAAAAGTGCCACACCATCAAATAAAAGTGTAGACAGTGCACGAAATCGGCCTCAAACATCTAAATCGATTGCAAAACCAACCGCGGTATAATAAAAACCATGATAATGATAGTCATCTCATAAATCTCATAAATCATGGTCGCGTTAAATCTCGCCATAAATTGTGGACCACGTGTGTTCGTGTTTTTTTTTTTAATAAAAACGTTGTCATTGTTTTTTCTAAATATCACACGCTTCATTTTTGTAGAATTCTGCGATAGCTTTAATTCCGAAGAAAAAAAGAAATGTTATAAAATTATGAAGAGATATGAAAAAAAGGATTTCATTACATAAATTGCGTAGCGTAAGCTAAAAATATAATTGCTTCTGTTTTGTTGAAAAAAAGGAGGAAATAGCATTTTTAGCATCATTTTTAAGCTAAACTTTTAATATTGTATATTTTTCTTTTATAAACATTTTCGGTTTAAATTGCCTTCAAATTTAGCATATGATGTTTATAAAAAATAAATATATAGATTATATAATTTGTTTTATCGCATTATAAATCATGTATAAAAAATACTAAACCAAAAAAAAAGTTTTCAATTAAAAATATATGTTACTCTAGAATTTTGTCATTTAGTTTCATTGCACTCATTCTTTAACACATATTTTTTTTCAATACTTAAAATATCTTAACATTTGCAATTGATTCATTCATCATTCTCATGCATTGCGCAATATGATCAATCAAAATAGTAATATTCTAACAAGAAAATCGTGTTCAACGATAACCGATGCGCTGAAAATAGCTGGATTAAATGGCGCATCGGTTTTACGAGTTTAGCACGTACACATTTTGGTAGGTATTTATTTTAATTCGATGCGGGTATTCAAATTATGCAGACATAAACGGAGGTCGGTTCCTTTTTTTAATTATACATGTCAATGTGCTTGCGTTCGTTCATTTATTAGAAAATCATCAACATTCATGATGCAGGAAGTGTAAATAACATTCCGTTAAAATAACGCATTAGTTTATAGTGCATCTTCTCTTTATTTCGATTGATGTTTTGTTCTACTATCCAAGGAGCAGTCGTTTATCTAGTTGCAACAACAACAACAACAACAACAATAAACACACATTAAACACACACAGAGAAACACTTAGAATAATACAAATTCATCTTATCGGTTTTGGACATTTTGTTGCATCTCTCATGTAATACACCCATATCAGCTGAAATTAAACATGAAATCAAACACAAGAAAACAACACATTAAACGATACACACGTTCATAGTAAAAAAAATGGTTCGATATGTGTGTGTATGTGTGTGTGTGTATGTGGCAGAACGAGTTTTAAAAATTGTGCAACTATATATGAATGAATGGTTGAGAAAAATCATGACTCGAATTATTTCTAATTTTCAAAAATGAAACATAGAAAAACGTACATTACTAAGATTGAATCTTTATAAAACAACTCACAAGATCGATTTATAAGAAAAAATATCCCGAATGTGGGCAAATTTGAATCATAAAATTCGAACACGCAAGAGTGAAACAAAATAAATATCCATGTGGTATTTTTTACGTTTCAATTATTGATATTTTTTTCCAAATTTCATTTATAGTTATTTTTTCCTTATGTTTTATTCTTAAAATTAAAAATATTTAAGTCATGATTTTTCTCAGGCATTCATATTTAGTTATTTGAATTTTCCCATCAATGCGTATGGGATGAACAAAGATAGAGTCCTGATCGCGATCGATTATTTCTATTGAATGTGTTTGTTTTGTTTTTCTCTCTATTTGTTATTTTTTTATTTGAATTTTCCCCACTCATACAGATGAAGATGACACGGATAAAGATGGCGTTACATCTCTATCAAGTGCCAGTCCAATTCCAGCTCACGAAATTTACGAACATATAGTTAAATCTCCGCCAGAGCCGACTCGCGTTAAATCGCCTGAGCAAATTTTAATGCGTTCGCCAGACCCAGTGAATTGGATTGTTCCCTTGGATACTGGCAAGACGTTTACTGTTACACAAAACATTCGTAACGGTAAGTAGTCTTAACCCCCTCCACTCCCCAAAAAAAAACCCATCAACATCACACATCTTATTTTAACGAAAAAATATTCATTCGTGACCGAACAAAATACAAATACTTAGTTGTATTCTCGATCGCAGGCGATCCAGTTGTTCGTCCACAAAGTGAATTTAAAGTATCAACACCAGTCGATAAACCACCATCGGCACCGCTTTCAGCACCACCAAATGTTATCGAACAAGCTAAAATGGAAGGTAATGTATCTCTTGCTGTGCTATATAAATAGAGAAATGGTGTATATTTTTGGCTGAAACCAAAAAATAAAATAAAATGTTCAATTCAATTTGATTTTCACAGCGTGGAAAAATGAAAAGCTCGAGGAAACACTTCCCATAAAAGAGCCACCACATCCAACGATTATATCGGCTGTGCCATATGATAAACCAATACCAGGATCGACATTGCGCCGTTTAGACGATCCCACTTTTGATACGGATATTACATCGTCTGTAACCACAGTTAAAGACCGACCAGCTGCTACTGATGATCTAAATGAAGCTCGTGATCGCTTCGATCGTTTCTGGGGTTGCAACAAAGACAAAGATGAAAAATTTTAAACTCCATAACGTGCAACATATAAACAGGGTAGATGAGAATAAAACAAAACAAAAAATCTTTAAAAAAAACATAACAATGCGACGTTGTTGAATTTGTATCACCACGTATTACAAAGCTATCATAATTTAAAAATTACCAAAAAAAAAAAAAAGGAAAAACAAAAAAAAAAAAAACAAATGATACTCGTTTAGACGAGAAAAAAGCCACTAATATTATATCGAAATTTTCATTTGATATTCTGATGTACCGTAAACGTGATCGCTGTGCCATGGCACGATGAAAAGATAGCGAAAGAAGAAATTAAAGAAAAAATACCAACACCACATTACACGGGATGCATTTCATATCCATGAAATCCAATACTGTTCGAAAAAAAAAGCGAGAAACCAGATACGGAGCGTTACATTACAAAATTAATTCAGAACATTAGAATCATCATGAAATGTCGAAGGCAACTGCACTGCCATTTAGTTCACTAGTTCGCATTTATGTAGGCAAGCACATCAACAAAACTGTGTATGTAACAAGACATGAGAGCAAAAATGTGTGACACTTTAAACGAACGGCTTCAGTGCTCGATTCGATGTATTTTGGAATGTTGGTTTTTTTCCCACGTTTTTTTTCAACAGTGTTGTTGACGATATACTCATAATCGATAAATGACATGAATGCCAATAACTGCTGCTTCCGTAAACATTTAAGAGAGAATTTGTAACGGATTTATAGAGTGTGAAGGAAGTTCATCTTTGTTAACGATTTCAATTTTGCCTATTCAGAACAAAAACAAACAAACAAATATATACTCAATGAATTTAACGTGATGCTTTTGGCACGAATTTTATACACACAGGCAGTTGAAATTGCGAAAATACAAATTGTGTCTGTCATATCATAAATGCTTTTCAAAACAAAACAAAAATATGCGTGCTTTATTTTTAAAACGAAATTAAAGGAGAAAAAAAACATGTGCCCAATTGTTAATTTTGTTCGTCTTTCGTTGCGATGTCCATTTAAACATTTCATTTTGATTGTTTTCGCACCGTTATAATTGTATCAACAAATACCATTTAATGAGGATATTTAACAAAATAACACTGGATTTCGGCTTGCCGTCCAATCTGCACACACTCACAAAAAAAAAAAAACACACACACACACACACCTTAACAAATTTGTGAATTTGGCTTGGTCTAAACATTATTTAACAACATATAATCAATCAATCAATGTCCGATATAATCAAAACAAAAAGAATATAATTAAACAACCAATTACATCAAGCTAACAACATGCTTAGGAAAAACGATAAGTAAATTCAAACAAAAACAGATGCTAAAGACTAGTTACATCATCATCGCCGTCTCACACTTTATTATCAGCTTTTTTGAAAAACTTTTACTCTAAATGACATATAGATTAAAAGAGTGTAATTATTTTCCATACGACATGTTTTTTGTCTTACATAAATCGTCCGTTCAAGAGTAAAACTAAACTGTCTGTGTTGTGGTAGAAGAGATAGATTGGAGGGGATTGTCGCAAATGAATGTATGCCACTTTACAATATGTGCGATTCATTATGTGCATTTTTTAGCGTCACTGAGATGAATGAAGGTATAAGAGAATGAAACACCGTTGCGTATGCGCATCATTTTTTTTATTATATTTAGATTGAAATATGCTAAAACAAAGCTTTCCAATTAAAAAAGACGAACACAGAAAAAAAAAACCATTAAATCATGGGCATTCAAACAGAAAATCCATTCCATTTTTTATATGGTAGATAAAAATAAGAAATATATTACCGTTAGAAAACACGAACCGACAGACAGAAGAAAACAGCAACAAACATCGTTCAACTACAACAATAAAATGAAGAAAAAGAAGAAGAACACATGAGTAGCATGAGAAGAAATCTCATTGAAAAATCGAGTCCATTCAATTATATAAATTCGAACACTATGTAAAATCGTATATTTCTCTAGAATGCTTTTTGTAAGATCGTACAATTTTTCAGAGCCATCTATAAAAAGAAAACAATAATCACGACACAAACCACAAAAAATTTAAATTGAACAAATCTCTAGCAGCAACTACCAGTCAAGCATATATGTTTTGGACGGTATACACAAAACATACACATTTCACAAAACTTGTAACAACAACAAATAAAATGGAACGGACTTTACGCTAGTGATCAAATGTTTCATTCATGCCACCTAAACTTATCAACTAAAAATAACAAAAAAACGGAAATCCAAACAAAAAAAAAACACACACACAACAAGATCTAGTTAGAAATAGGAGACATATATAAAGGTGATTTGTTGCAAAATTGTGCATTCAACATGTGCACTTCTTTTATATAATCAATAAGAATTTTACGATTCTGTTTGTATTTGATTTGGATTTGTCGACATAACTGTCGAGCTCCCATTGATTTCATTATCCTTCGATAAGCAATGCTCACATACTCACTCATTTACGCTCACCACCCAGCCCCCTTTCAAAACATATATACACACAAACTTTACACTTCTTTAAATGTGCTATATATTTTTTTGAAAGAAAAAAACAACCCCCAAATAACCGAAGTTTCAATTCTCGTGCATAACATAGAAAACCAAACATATATACCAGACAAGTAACAACAACAAAAAAAATTTATTATATTCTCTTTCAATGATGTCTTTAATATCCCGTTTAAAATCTAATTCTCAAGAATAAGTACAGTTACACCGCAAAATTGTCTCCCTTACAAATTTGTAGTTCGGTAATCCAATTTTATAATGTATACACAACGGTTTATATATATATATATATATATAAAAATATATATAAAAAAAACTCTCGTCTCAATCTGCACACAAACACTCAACACACACCCACAACCAAACACACTCACTGGAATGCATACTCCAAATTTCCGAATAAAAGAAACTACATGACAGAGAAAATAGAGAATTTCGAAAAACACACACGACATTTGTTAGATAGAAAACGGTAGCAAACATTTTTGAAAGTTACGAAACATTCGACATCGTCTCTGGATTGCAAGTGCATTTCATTTCCGTTTACCGGAAATATTGCACGAGAGATAGAAAGAAAGGAAAAGAAGCGAAAAAACAACAACCATGACGATGTAGATGACACCAAAATAAATTAGAATTGACAAATTGAAAGCAGAAAATGACGAAACCAAAACAACAAAATTAATTAATTTAAATCGAACAGATATTTAGCTAGACAAAAAAAGCATTACAAATTACCAATGAATATAGGTATAGCTGTGTTACATAAATTGATTAATTAACGGCATTTCATATTTTTTGCATCTGATGTTAGTAAGGAAATTAATAAAAAAAAAAAAAACAAAACAAAAATTAAAAAGTAGAACAAAAAACAAACAAAAATGAAACAAATGGTGTCAGTATAGTATCAAAATAAATTTTTGGCGGAATGATTTTTTTTAAAGCTGAGAATGATAGTGAATGAAAATGGTAGCAAACGAACAATACAATGCAATAAAGATCAAAGCAGAGAGAGAACGCTACGCTAATTGTGTTTTAGATAAAAAGTTTAGCTTAAATTAATAATCCAATCTGTCGAAAGAGAGATACCGATAAAAAAAAATGAATGCTATTGAATTGATAATACAAAGAAACAGAACAACAACAAAAACTGAACCCTTTGTAAAACATTAGATATTTATTTTTTATCGAATACGACAGAAAAAAAAACTTGTTTCTTCTTTTTAAATAGCCGTTGTTTTTAATTGATTTTTTTTATAGCACAACATATACCTACTGTTTTACATCTAATCAAATATGTATTTGGCGTCAGCAGCAAAATTACTATATTATTATTAATAAAATAAAAAAAAATATTTATAGAATTAAATAAAAAAAAATTGAGAAATACAAAATCATACGTATGAAAACAAAACCAATAACAATCGTCTTTGATTTGATTTGATTTCAGAAATGTGACGGAGCACAAGTTCGTATTATCTGATTAGTTATAATCAATTAAGCTCAGATGAGTGAATTTTCATGTTTTCAACGCTTACAAATGTGTCGATAAGTCAAATTTATCCCATATATTTGCTGAATCAACAACTAACACATTGATTGATGACTATGGATTTTGATATAAATATATATTAATATTCAATAATATTCGGCAACGATTCTTTTTTGTTATGTCTATAGCCACGCATGTTTGCAGTCTGTTCAAATTAAGCTCAATTCGGTAATATTATTGATCTAATAAAATGATAATAAATAATGAATTCAATTTCACTATATATTTTCAATATGTACCGCACATATCACAATGATACATAAAATCCATCTCAATATGCCAAAAAATGTTATTTTTGTTCGACTTCTTCGTCGAATCAGTGTGAATCATCCCGTTGAGGGACAAACAGTCAAATGATCTGAATCTCCATTATTTATTTTTTCAATCACCTACACATGTATATTCGAACAAATGTTTATCTTGATTTATGTATAAGTTTCGTAAATATCGTCTGTCTCTCCCTTTCTCTCTCTTTTTCCTACCTCTCCTTCTCTTTCTCATTATTCCGAACCTCATCCAATGAAATATTAATTTAATTGGTATATTTGGTTTCTATACTGCATTCAAAATGAGAGCATTGCAATGCGATGGCTATCTCGGAAAATTTGCGTCATACAAGTCCAATTGGGGATCCTTTTAGCGGTCAATGAATTTGATTGTGTCGCCGGTTACATTTATTACGTCGTCCAATTTATCGTCGCCAGGATACCATGCGCATACAAACACTATCACATAGATACTGAGTGTTTCAATTGATTTAAATCGTTCGGATGTTTTCCATGAAATTGAAACACTTTTTACGTATAAGCCGAGAATTGGTTTCATGTACATGAAAATGGAATACTTTGTGGAATTCAAGAGTTGCTCGTATAAAAAAAATAACTTTTATGGTAGTTTAAACAGATATTTAATTAAATTTATGTTTTTAATACGATCGTCAAACTTCTATAGCACAATGGACTGAACTTTTAACCTATGTTGAATACACTTGAATTGATGATACAAAGACTATTTATTTAGTTATAGTTTATGGGACAACGAATGAAAACAAGACGAACAAATTTTTGAACATTTTTGATGTAGTTTTTTCGCAACAACTTCATCGTTGACCGAAATTCGTCAGTGTTCAACTATTGTATCGAATCAAAAAGCAAAATCGTTAATGGATAAAACTACTCATCAAATTTATCGAAAATGTGACTCGACATGAAGTCATTACGTTATGATTATTGGCATATGCTTTATTTTACTATGTGACATTGATATGAGCTAAACAACGTCCACGCATAATAATTTATCACCACTCGGCATCAGTTCAACCTGAAGCAAAATTGGCTATTTATTGCATATATGTGAGTGTTATATACTTATACACTGCAATCAAAGCAAACAATAAACAATAACAGTTTATCAATAAACTTGGGCACGAATCGAATTATAAAAAAAGCTACATGACAAAAAATACAAACAAAAGTACAAATAAAAATCGATTTTCGGTGCTTTGGATTTTTTGGGATGCGTTTCATCTTCTTCTTATTTGAAATTTTTCTCGTTGTGAAGTTCATTTTTTTCGCAATTATTCAAAGGGAATTTACCCATTCTGAACGATTCACATTTCACATATATATATATTTCATTAAACCGATTGTTCAATCTGGTTATTTTTGTCGGGCACAAAGACGGGTTATAGTGCCACTTTTTTGGGGAAAAAAATTATCAAACACGTTAGATGGCGTTAGTTTAAATGTAAATTTCTATGTACATACGGTGGCGCCGCCCTACACCAAAAATTACTGAACTATAGAGTAAGGTACTATTGGTCGGGCATCTCACATTGGATATTTATTCATTAAGAAATCGCTTAATGACTAAAACTTCTGACGGAATAATAATCAATTAATCGTAATGTTGTCGGTTGAATGGGCGACGGCCGAAAAAAAATTATGAGATTCACTGCTGTTGCTATTGTTACGATAAGCCGGACCATTCTTCGAAGTTCGAATGACATTTTCGCTAATCAAAGCTTAAACCTTTTTAGGATGTAATTTATGGGTAGGTTTGGTAA